TATCTAATTCTAGTAAGATTTGGAGATCTATTTTTTATCATAGTTAGATTTATCGTCTATCTTTTGCATCTCTCCAAAATTCCTAACACCTTCAATTGATAGGGCTTACGGTTGTATTGTGTCACTTATGAGTTTATGTTGACTTGTATATTGTTTTACATATTGAATAAAAGTTGAGTGTTTGATTGATGCAGATAGGTTAAGGTTTCATATGAAAATTGATAATAAAGATATGTAGGAGAGAGAAGAGAGTCCTGCTAAAAGAGGGGTTCTAAAAATTTTAAATACCAAATTTGATTTAGGTTATAATTATTATTAAAAAAATTTAAAATTTTGACCATGTGTCTCAATTTTATTGTCCATTTAGTTATATATGGACCGGCTATTTTTATTTTTATTTTTATTTTTGTTTATAAATGATTATTTGTGCGCTTTTACCTTTTGACCAGATTCATCAGCAGCAATGATTGATTGTACCAACAGAAACAGAGAGGGAGAGAGAGAGAGAGAGAGAGAGGGAGAGAGAGAGTCACATTTTCTCCCTTGTTTTTCTCCTTTTCCTGTGCCCATTTCAAAGGCTTTGAGTTTCCCCCGTAAGACATGTTTGTTTTTTAATTTCCCTAACATGAGAAGACCTCCTAAACAAAATCTAGCAAATCCCGCACTGCATGTTATATTATTAATATAACTAATTAACAGATTATTTTACTTGTTTTTCATTCTGTTCAATGTGATTAACAAATGGTATATATATAAGAAATTAATAAAGAATATAATGATTGATTAGATTCTTTGCAACTTAGATATGTCTATTATTTATAAATAAAATTATTCATTTCAAACAAGTAGTCAATATTCGTACTCTTTAGAGACATTTGTTAAAATTTACTCTCTATCTTTTATTAAAAGAGTTGAGTCTCAAATGACCAAATAAATTTGTGAGTTTCTTGCCGAAGGACAAGGAAAAAGAAAATTATTATCCTTGTTTTATCTTTTCCTTTTGCAAGATCCTTATTTAATTCTATCACATAAGTTTCAAATTCAACTATTATTATTATTATTTAGCATTTCAAATAGGCGAATTTGTTTCATCTGTTGCTTAATATTATGGCTTGTTCCACTCACTAATGTCTTAAAGATGGTATTATAAACTAAACTCTCCTTGTAACTTACTATTACTAGCTTCTCCCACACTATAATATGATATTACAAATAAAATTTTCACTCATTTCATTCTCCCGATTTTAAAATATTATTTTTAATTTGATTCTCACACTTATTTTAAAATTCACTTTAACTCACACACCCACTGAATTCCTCGTATCAGATCACACGCTCACCATTATGTGAATTCCTCGTATCAAATCACACTTATTCACACACTATTTTATGAATCTCTCGTATCAGATCACACACCCACTCATATTTGTAATTCTACAACAATTAAAATACCAAAACTATAATTCTACAGCAATTTGAATAGAAAAGTTCATGAAATAGAATCATAGGCTTCCTCACCCCAGCCTCAATGGATGAAACAGGATCAACATTTATCTCCCTTTGTTACTTACTATTGCTAGCTTCTCCCAATCACTCGCGACTATAATATGATATTAGAAATAAGATTTTTACTCAATCTAGCTCATTTCATTTTGGGGTCCTAAAACATCATTTTTGACTTATTTATTATACTCTTATTTGAAAATTCTTGTAACTCACGTGCTCACTATTTTGTGAATTCCTTATACTAGATCACGCACTCACTATTTTATGAATTTCTCGTATTAGATTACACACTTGCATACTATTTTGTAAATTTCTCAGATCAGATCACGCACACCTACTCAAATCTTGTCATTCAAAATTCAATCTTTATATATTAAAATACCAAAACCATAATTATACAGTAATTTGAACAGAAAAGTTCAAGAAACAGAATCATTGACTTTCTTCACTCCAGCATCAAAGGATGAAACATCAAGAGCAGCATCAACATTTATCTTGACATGACCCATTGGTGGAGGACTCCATTTTAGTCTATTTAAACGACTATTAGTGCAAATCTAACTCTACAAAATTCTTTCCTATTTTAGAATATTTCTCTATGATGAACCATTAGGATGCATTAGAATTAATGGTTGATAACTCTCCACCTAAATATGATATATAGTAACTCTAAAAAAAGCCTCATACTTTTTAGGAATATTTTTCAATCTCCCAACTACTGCGTTGCACAGATTCCATGCAAATAGACACAACTTAAATACTATATTTACCAACTCTACAAAATTCTCTAATCTTTGCCAATCTCCCAATTTGTGTGGTGGTGGTGCAAATCCTTGCAAATAGATACAATGTCACAATTAGCCTTCCAATGAAGGAAAACTGACAATATATAAATAATATATATACATAATACTTATATATAAACAAAACATATATTATTATTTTATATCATTCTGAAATATTGTAGGATAAAGATGTTGCCACAGTACTGCTTAAAAACTGGTTATGCATGTGCATGTCTCTCTTATTGATTATTGTGCACAACTTTAATCAATAAACCCATTGATAAATTTTGTTAATTACTCTAATAAGCATGTCAGGTGAATTATTTAGCGAACAAAAATGGCGGGTAAGATTATTAAGCTCTAATTAAATATACTTGTTAATTGGACCATTAAGCTTATTATTTATATTAATATATTGACATTTTATGATGATATACAGTGGCACACTGTTAAGTTTCATTGGCTTTATAATGATTACAGTGGCATACTGTAGAAAGATTCTTCTGCCTTTGATTTTTACTTTTTGTTTGAGTTTGTTATTATTCCAAGAAATAGTTTCGAAACTTGTAAATTGATGATAATGGTATTTCCTTGAACATCAAGTGCATGTCTCAAATTGCGTGTGCATCTAAATTTCCTTCAACATCGAGTGTTTTTTTCTGTTGCTAAAAGCTTCATGGTAAAAGACTCATATTTGTATGCTAGGTTTTGAAAGAAGGTGTTAGACTGAGATTTAAGTTTTTAAATGGATGTTTTGTTGCAAAGCATGGATTTGTGATGATTAATTTGTTTAGTGTTTTACTTAAAATAGTCTCTCTCTTTTTTTTTATCTCCCTTAAATTCAACAAAATTACCTGGAGGCAATGACGACCCGGAAAGATGTATGAGAGGGGAACAACAATAGTACATGGTAGGGTATCATTAAAAATTGAGTGAGGGCAACAATAAAATGGGAATATTTTTAAAATTTTCACAATATTTATAGGTAATTTTGTAAATAAAAAAAATTCAGTGGGGTGACTACCCCACTGGGCCCTTCATGGGTCTATGCCTGCCTAGAGAGTGGAGGTTAAGTGTTTGAGGTTCTTGTTCCTAGTCGGATCGGGCTGGGGAGAGTGTTGAGTATATATGGGCAGGTATGCAACATTACCCGATAGATTAAACTTTTCTGTCAGCAGACAAACGTTTGATCTTTTATAATTAGTATCAGAATCAGTTCTTAAACCGGAGTCACACTAAGCATTAGTCCCCAAAGTGTCTTCCCAATGGAAAAAATGTTGAGGTTTTCTATAGGTCACAAATATTGTATTTTTTATTAATTATAATTCAAACTCTAATGACGTGGTTGATTTGTAGGATACATTTCAATTTGGATTGTTGTTTGTACTACAAATTAAATTAATTTTTGATGTGAAAAGTCGCTGAAATTGTACTCATATGAGATTTGTAGTAATGTCCATTCCAAATATTACATCCATATATTATAAATGTACTAATGACTAATTTGTCTTGCTTAAAAATGGATATTCTCACTTGATGAAGGTAAGATTAGTGGAACCCGTGAAGTACTAGATTGTGACCAGATCACAGCATTTTTTAAAGATAATCATATATGGTCAACAGTTTAAATTTAATGAAATTTAATAATGTAGTAGCTTTCAAGTATTAGTTTTAATAGATTTGAAATTGGACATTGAATTGAGAGCTCAAATACTAAGTGATTATTATGTAAGATTTTCAATTTCTTAGAGCCACACAAGTCTCTATATGTGTGGGTCTTAGACTCTTAGCGCATGCTTGGTGCCTTTGGGAAACTTCCAAACCACATTTTCAGACTCTCTTTTGATAGCTTGGATTTAGTAAAGACTGTCTGCCTAACTTAACCAGTTTTACAAGTGACTTCTTTTTTAAAAATCTATACTAAAACTAGCAAACTATGACTAATCTATAAATAGACACACACACACACACACACATATATGTATGTGTGTGTGTGTGTGTGTGTGTGTCAGTGTGTGAGTAAGAGAGCCCAGCCTCTTGATGAAATGATGTTTCATGTTACAAGCTCTTCATGCACAGCAAGCAAGCTGTAAAGCCAACTTCTCCATGATTGATGCCCAATTTGATACTAACATTAATGTCTTATTCTCTTGCTTCAACTTTATTCTTATAATATCATTTTATTGCATTCAATCAATCCAATCTTGTGACTGTTCATGGAGACTTAAACTTAATTCTGGCATTTATATCAGACTTGACTTGAATCTAAATCGCTTGTGCAAAGTACTTATATTTTATTACATCAATAATGTCGTGACTAAGTATAAAACACGGAAATTATACAAAACACGAAAATTACGATATAATGTAATTGTAAGCGATGTAAAATTTCACAAACAGTGTAACAAAATAGGACACGACAGAAGATATTAAATGACTCCGTGTTGGACTTAATAATCTATTCTTATTATTGGGTTTGAAGTTCGCTCTACAAAGCTTGGTTTTTTATTCATATATATATATATATATATATATATCCAAGCTACAAGAGGCAGATTGGAAAATTGGGAACTTGTGGGGTAGCTTCCACCAATGATAGCTGCATCCAATCAAGACTTATAGGACAATGCCACGTGTGTAGGACCTCCATAGTCTCTACTTCCCTTACATTTCCTTTACAGCAATGCCAAAATCTGTTATTTAATCATTTCTTTTTCTCTCTCTCTCTCTCACACACACACACACAGAGGGGGAGAGGCTTTTAAATATGAGGAATTGCCTGTGAGAGTTACTATAGTAGGTTCTCTAGCTTCCTTCTGTTCCTCTAACCATATTCTTCTTGCTTTTTGATTTGGCTAACAAGGCTGCCTTGTAATTCTCAGTCTTGAAGAAAGAAAGGGTTGGTTTAGCTCTAATGCATAACTCTCTGATCATAGAATCCCAAGCTTCATTAGTCTTTCCTCTGTGTGTGTGTGTATGTGTGTGTGTGTGTGTGTGTGTGTGTAGATAGGTTTATGTTAAATAGTAGTTGATGAGAAGTTGTGCAGGTACTAAAAGATCCTATATAGAACTTAGATTTTTAAAGTTGACTTGTATTGCCAAGTATGCTGCTAAACTGTGATCCAACTGACAATGAAGCTGGTACAAAGCTTTTGGAGGACTTGACCAGAAATGCCAAGCAAGTACAAGAGAAGGTATTGGAGGAGATACTAAAACAAAATGCAAAAACCGAATATCTCGGGACCTTTCTTGATCATGGCAGCAGCTTGGACAAGGAAACTTTCAAGAAAAAAGTCCCCATTGTGAATTATGAAGATGTCAAACCCTATATTGAGCGAATCGCCCTTGGTGAGCCGTCAGAGATAATATCGTCTCAACCCATCACCGAGCTCCTCACAAGGTAAGGAAGTGATTTATATATTGCTACTGCAATTTTTTCTAAAAAAAGAGAGAAATTAGAGAAAAAAAAAAAAAAAAAAAAAAACAGTTACCGTCTTTCTTGTGTCATTACTTGATTCCTTGAATGCAGCTCTGGTACGTCAGGAGGGCTGCCGAAGATGATGCCTTCAACTGCTGAAGACTTGGACAGAAAAACATTCTTTTATAACCTCCTTGTACCTGTGATGAACAAGTAAGAAGCTTCTCTCCTTTTTGTTCTTCAAAATTTCTGTACAGTTTTAAAACTGAATGTAACAGTAGAATTAAGCTTTCTAAACAGTTTAATTACTTGTTCTAATACAGGTATGTAGATGGGCTGGACCAAGGAAAAGGAATGTACCTTCTGTTCATCAAGCCAGAAATCCATACACCATCTGGTTTGATGGCAAGGCCTGTCCTAACCAGCTACTACACAAGCAGTAACTTCAAAAACCGGCCTTTCAACCGCTTCAATGTTTACACAAGCCCGGATGAGACCATCTTGTGTTCAGATAGCAAGCAGAGCATGTACTGCCAGTTACTTTGTGGTCTAGTACAGCGCCACGAGGTTTTGAGGGTTGGTGCAGTTTTTGCATCTGCTTTCCTCCGGGCCATCAAATTCTTGGAGGATTACTGGGAAGAGATGTGTTCCAACATAAGAAATGGTCATGTCAGTGATTGGATCACTGACCCCGGTTGCAGAAATGCTGTGTCTTTAATCCTCAGCAAACCGAATTCTGGTTTAGCCGATTTGATTGAGCTCGAGTGTTGTGGGAAGTCATGGGAAGGGATAATTAAGAGGCTTTGGCCTAGAACAAAGTATATTGAAGTTATAGTTACAGGGTCCATGGCACAGTATATCCCAACCCTTGAATTTTACAGTGGTGGACTCCCTTTAGTTTCGACAATGTATGCTTCATCTGAATGCTACTTTGGGATCAATCTGGAACCACTAAGCAAGCCTTCTGACGTCTCCTATACTCTCCTCCCAAATATGGCCTACTTCGAATTCCTCCCTATGGAAGAAAACCACGATGGAGTGCCTCATGAGGGCGGATGCAATTGCATTTCGGATTCAATTTGCATAGGAACTGAAGAGGAAGAGGTCGAAAGTGAAGCTGTTGATCTTGTAGATGTGAAGCTCGGGAACTTCTATGAACTTGTCGTTACAACTTTTACTGGTAAGCCTTTTTAATCTCCAGATCCTGTCCATAAAGGGCCTATCCCAAACATGGATAGAACAGAATTCACAGTTTACAGTTCTTTTTAGTAGCCTGACTCACTATGTAATTTCTTTACATTCTTCTTCTTCTTCTTCTTCTTCCCTCCTCATATCGCCTTTTTCTTTAGTTTATCGTTTTAAAGACGGGGTTTTCTGGATTCTAGATCTATAACCAGTGTCTCACTCCCTGGGATTGAAATTTCCATTTTTGTCTGACTAAAAGGAAATTCCTATTTGACCATGCTGGTATGATAGTTAATAACACACAGCTCACAAGCTTGTCTACCAGTTGTTACACATGCTTTATGGAACAAAAGAATCTACCCACCAGTCTAAATCATAAAAATGTACATTTGACTCGAATGAATTTCCCTGTGAACAGTCAGTCGCAAAGCCAAAATGATAAATTAATTTGAGATGGAAAATTAGTTCCTCCATTCTCAAAGACTGAAAATAGTAGTAACCTTAATTTTATGCCCTTCTAACTCTCTGTTATTTTCTCAGGCCTATATAGATACAGAGTTGGGGATATTCTCATGGTGACAAGTTTTCACAACAACGCTCCTCAATTCCGGTTTGTGCAGCGTAGAAATGTGGTTTTGAGTATCGACATGGACAAAACCAACGAAGAAGACCTGTTAAAGGCCGTAGCACAAGCAAAGCTCGTCATAGAACCGCTTGGCTTCCTTCTAACAGACTACACTAGCTATGCTGACACGTCATCAATGCCGGGGCATTATGTACTGTTTTGGGAGCTCAGAGTGAGAGGAAACAGTGATCGCCCAGAACTTGACCCCATCATAATGGAGCAATGCTGCTCCGCGGTGGAAGAGTCCCTGGACTCGGTGTATAGGAGGTGCAGGAGGAAGGACAAATCAATAGGTCCTTTGGAGATCAGGATTGTGAAGCACGGCACGTTTGATGTGCTCATGGATTTTTGCGTCGCTCAGGGGTCGTCTGTAAATCAGTACAAGACATCAAGGTGCATTAAGTCTGAGGAAGCTTTTGAGATATTGGAGTCAAGGGTAGTGGGAAGGTTTTTCAGTAAAAAAGATCCTTTATGGGAGCCCTTCAAAATTGGGAAAAAGTAAGAAAAAAAACAAAAACAAAAACAAAAAAAAAAAAAAATTACTGTATTTGACAGGAAAAACGGCTTCCTATGTTCCTTGCTGGAGTCTGGCATGTGTTGATGTTTTCAGGGTTGATTTCAGTTGGTGCCAGTAGTCAATTTAGAATCTAATTTGTAAAAGCTCTTTCTTACTTCTTTGTTGTGTGTTTTTTAGAGCCTGTACTTGTATGCTTGATTTGTATGAAACTAGAGTGCTAGTCATTTATCTGTATCTGCTTGTGCAAGTGCAAGATGATGATGTTTCCAAACTTAGGACAAGATTTCCTTGATGGGGATTGGTTTATCCTAAAACAACTAGGTTTCTCAATGGTAAAACCTGTTAGAAAAATGGGAAATAAAGAGGTTCAGCTCTGCTTCATCAGCTACGGGTTCGAAATAGGAAACATTCTATCTGCTTGCGGAGATAAGGTTGCGTACATCTAACCCTCCCTAGCTCCCGTAACTGCAGGAGCCTCGTGCACTGAGCTAGCCCATGTGAAATGGCTCGAGGCAGATGAAAAAAGTAGATCCAAGATAAAGGAAAAGGGAAAAAATTGGATGCTATGATGATTTTAGACTACCAATGGGCAACAGGATATATAATCAAGCATCAAATTAGATACTATGACTATGTCACAAAGAAGAAGACCAGTTAATTCAAAGCTTGGGAATAGAATGGTCAACAAGTGATTGAATTAGTAAGACCATGTATGAAACTCTCATGCATTAACTGCAAAACATTATTAAAGTATGCTGTTGGAACAGTAGTAGGCTTGAGACTCAAAGGCACTCAATCAAGTAGGGCTGCAAATAAACCGATCCTCACGTTTATTGGAACGGGATAGATGTAGTTGGAAGCATCCTTTAATAACTTAAACTTTTGGAAGGATGAGTCATCTAATAGGTAGGCTATTTTTTTGTCTTCAAGGTAGGAGGGGGGAGCCATATTACAGTGATAGAGGCAGAGGCTAACATAAAGCCACGATAATAGGAATTTGACCATAACAAGGAGACAATGAGAGCAACCCAAGGAGACAATAGGAACTGTTCATGCAGGGGGGGAAAGAAGTGTGTATAAGCAGGGCCTTTTGGCTTTGTCTATAGCATTTATGTGAAACATGTGGCCTTAAACACCACCAGCTCTACCTCAATTACAGAGGTTGGACCCCTCCTCTCATCTCCTCATTACTACATTGCATGTACAGCAAATACATTACTGGCTCCACAACCATTTCTTCTCTTCCTTCTCACACTTTTTTTTTTTTTTTTTTTTGTAGCTCATAGAAGGCCATAATTTTCCTACATTTGTTATCTTCTTACATTGATGTTAATTTTCTTCTTACATTGATGTTAATTTTCAGCGGTACAAATACTCTAAAAGCACCATCTCATTCTTGATGATCAAAGAAAGCAAACAGTAAGTCATTTCTATGCAAGGTTTACAAATATGCCGTGTTAATCTCATCTAACATTTTAAGCAGGAAAAGAATGGGTCAAGCAATGTATATCCAGCTCTAACACACCGTGCTTGAAAGACATCACATACACACACAAAAGGGACAAATCCAATTACCACAAGGACTTGTACATTTCACCATATAGAATGGATAAAATATAAGTGGAGAAAAAAAAAATTAGGCCACCTTATCTATGTATGTATGCATGTACATTCACTTTTTCTTTCAGCATTCATTAAAAGTCTCATCCCTCTCATGTGGCCTATATATTGTGATTGGACTTCTCAACTCAAGAAAGGAACTACTTTTTCATCATCAATTCAAATGTAGAGTAAAGTGTTCCAATCGATGTCCCAAAGTTGATGAGAAAAATACAGGTAAGATGGCGCATGGGGGTTGTATGTGACCCCAAATGTATATTTGATTTGATTGTGGTTGGCATTTGGCAGCATTGGCCTAACTGGGGAGTTAGTTAAGGGGGTATAAAGACCACGCACACGTGTGTGTTGAACCAATGATGGAGACTTTTTCGAGAAAAGACAAGCTCTGTAGACTGTAGCTGTCTTTAACTCACACCCCCCACAGGGTTGCGAGTCCTTTTCAGAGCCATACACCCCCACACACACTTCACACAGTAGCATGCAAAATAGAATGTGACTGAGACGTTACATACCCCTCTCTGTCTCTTTCTCCTTCTCTCTCTCTCTCTCTCTCTCCCTCTCGCTGTGGATTAATTGGGATAAGGTAGTGAACCTAGAGAACCATATTTAAGATATGCGCACACATACATTATATATGTATATGTTATAGTAGTGGCAGTGACAGTGAAAGAACTGCATGGTGGGTCATCCATGTTTTTCCAATCCGGGAAGTCCCGGAGACATGTCCAGGCTGACCTGACCTTACATAACCAATTTGATTCCAAACAAGAGTGATCCGAACCATTGGACTGGGTCGCAATTTTTAACATTGAGAACAGGACTTTCTGTTAGAGTAGAGCCTCAAGCCCCATGATTTTAGGGATTTGTCAATTATTATTGTACGGATTGGGAGAGAGCACACAGCGCCATCACACCCACTTAAAAAAGTGGTAGGATGAAATACAACATATATTTTTTCAGAGTTACGGTGAAAGATTCACTAAATCGTAGAGTAAAGAATGGGTGCAACACAAACACAATAACAACCATCAATGACGTGTGTATTTACGGACCTTGGGATGTAACTTTGTTCGCAATTTTCGTAAGAAATAGTGTCAGTGAAATGAGCTATGTTATGATTGAGTTCAGATTGAGTTCTTTAATTTTGGGGAGTCAATATTTTCTTAATTTTCTAGAACTTATATTATTTATAAAGAGATCTACATATATGAGGTTTATTAAAATATTGGAGAGGCCACGAGTCCCATATATGTTCTGCCCATGGAGAGTGGGAGCTGAGAAGAAAGTAGACCAAAGATTAACAATAATCCCAACTACAGGGAGAAAAGAAAAAGAAGAAGAAAAGGCTTTATTATTTAATTAGAAAAAGGTTACATTTTTGAAGAGCAGGACAAACGGTAAATAGCACCTGTGGGGGGTAGTGGCGGCTATTCTACAATAACCCACCGCTCATACATACCCGTGTCATAGACTTCAAACGTAGAATAAAATATGGAACAAAAATAAAATTAAACAAGGATAACTAGGATTTACAGACACAGAAAGTACTGATCATAAGTTAGGAGTCAGGTTGCTCAGATTTCAACGGTGCACCTGATGAGGAGGCACAACTTCCATTTTGAAGGTACAGACTATTGGCCACCAACGAGTCACTAACCAATCCAACATCAACATCGTCGAAGTTGAGTGTGCCTCTGAGCTTCCGTGTCCTGCAAATGGAAGAAAACAAGAGTATTAACAGTACCGAACGAGCAAAATGACGAGATGGTCAACATCAAGTTCACCTAAACTAATACTGAACCACCTAAATTTCACAAGGATGGTCAAGATCAATTATATGTACCCATTCAAGCGGTTATTAATGGCAGTCAGGTCTTTTGAAGGGCTCTGATAAGCATGCGTGCTCTCTCCTACACAAGCATAGTAGCTTCTAGAGCTATGTGAAATTAAAGCATCCTTCTGTAGACATAAAGATCATAGTTAGAAACTATAAGCAAAATAATTAGTTCATCAGTGGCAAACGTCTCTACCAAAATTTAAAATCTTTCACCATCTGTAGACATAATTAAAGATCAAAGCTAAAATATGAACCAATTAACTAGTTCAATGGAGACAAAAGTCTCTTCAAAAAGTTTCATAAGCAAATAAATTCCTAGTTTTGATGTGCTTTAGTTTCTGAATTCATAATCACCAACATCATCTGTTGCCAACATACATATTGGGACAAGCGAGACGGGCACTAGAATCAATATGGTTTTCATAAATGAAAGAATAACGTATGCAAGACCAATTAGTGGCAAAAATCAGCATCTAAAACACTTTAAATAAAGTAGCCCAGCAATGAATGGGAGACAACAGAAGAGCTGGATACCAGTCTAAAGCAGTGAAACTAAAAGAGAAAATGTCCTCACACTTCAGTGTACTACAGACCAACTTGTGGTTTTGCTAACATACAACCTTCTATTTTAATTTAATAGCAACGAATTATCAAGGTTAGGTCAATCTCGAGTCCTACCTCCCACCCAGAAGAACTAGGTAACATCCCTTTTAACAATGATGTTGAACAGTAACAATACTTAGAGAAACAAACTTGGCTTCATGGTAGAAACTAATGATATTGATAAAAACTATCTAGTGTAGTCAACCATCTAATTATTTTTAATTACTACATTATTGATCTCTAGTAATTGAGGGTTCCTTGAGTATCTGATGCGGTTGAAGGGTACATATTGGATATTCCTATGACCTTTTCTTTATTGGCATAGGTTAGATAGAATTGCATTTAAAAAGATACTACAGCATGGAAGCCAAAAAGGCCTGAGAGGCCAACTCCAGGAGGCATTACCCGCCAACAATGCAAAATGGCTCCCATACATCCAAAGCTTGGATATTGCCCTTTAATTTCCAGCACCTGAGCACCATTTGTTTATTTACAGTTTTTAATTGAAACGACTCGTATGTCTGCAACTCCAATAATTCTGAACAAACTTTAGTTGAATTTCTCAGGCTAATTTAGGGTCAATAATAGTCTGTGTCCGATGACACCTCTCAGAACCACCTTGTCACTGTCTGGAATCTGCCTTGCAATGAAATTTTTAAGTATCTAATTTTTTTAGTCTGTGTCCGATGAAGGATTTTGTAAATGGAAGTCAACAAGAAAAATTAGTTTTTTATAATCCCAGGAATCAATAAATTTTCAGGTTCTCCATGATTGTTGGGTACAAGAGGCTTAACCAGAAAAATCATGGACTAAATTTATGGCAAGGAACTGCGAAGAGCAAAGTAACTAGAAAATATTATAGGCCCAATTTATCCAAATCCATTCAGCATTCAACTAGAAAACCTCATGTGGATCTAATAATAGAACCGACGATTTAGAAAATTCTAAAGATATGCAAAATAATAGGCAACAAACCAGTTGTAAACCAACTAAAAAGCAAAGAAAAGATGATTTTTAAGGTTTTATTACTAGATGACAACCTTATTTTTGGTTGGTAATTGAAGTGCATGGTGTAGACAGTCCCAATTTGATATCAAAGAGGCAACCCATGAGATTGAGCATCAGGTCAATTTTTTTGAACTCAACCCTCAAGGATTAACCTTGAAATTTTTTCTTAAGATACTAGGGTGAGTGACAGACACAAGGAAAAAGAAAAATGATATCTGGAACTGGACTGATTCTTTGATAAGTCGTGAGGAGCCACTACTCATGAAATTAAACCAATTTTAAGTGAAGTACCTAATATAATAACTATTAAGAGATCAAGGTGCTATGATGACAAAACGTCTAGAATACCACAGAATTAGGAAGAGGAGAACATAAAACCAAGCTGACCTAATGAAATGGGTTCTGGTTAACTAAACTTTAGGTTCAGGTATGGACGAGGCGCTTCAAAGTTTGAGTAGTACAACCTATCGAAAGAAGTATTAACTAATAAAAGTAAAGACGCAGAATCAAGCATGATATTGAGATTGACATAGAAGAACCCAGTTTCATCGGCAGATGGTATTATCTTTTGTAATGGAAAACCAGGCAAATGAAACAGGATCCACATAACAACTTCAAGTAGATGAACTAAGCATTGTCCATGTTATAGAGAATTACTTGAAGTATCTAACCAAGGACAAAAGTTAGATACTGAATTGAACACATGCTTTTACAATTGAAATTAGAAGCAAAACAAGTGCATGCTAAGAAATCAAAATAGCTTATCCAACAGGAAGTGTAATAATTACACATCCAGCAAAAGATAAAATTTGAAAATTTTTACACTGCACTTGGCAAAATTTTAGAGGGAACATCTCCCGGTTTCTCCAAATGAATATTAATATGAGACATGAAAGACATGAAAATTACAGAGACAGCTAAAGATTTTGCTAGATCTGCATATATAAGGCCAAAATCGCAAATAAAGAAAAAAACATAATAGAAGTCAATTTCAAAGGAATAAGGAAGAGAAATAAACAAATACCTTTGATGACCGCAATGGAGAAACATATACGTTATGTGCCGCAGACACTTTTTTTGGGGACATATCAGGAAGAGCTGGAAATGGAGATATCCTAGGTGATCCAGGGCATTGACCTAATTGGCCAAGAAAAAGAAAAGAAAAGAAGATTGCATCAAGCCATGGCTCACAAGAGAAGTGCTTGAAGAGGAAATCAAAGAAAAAGAATGAGAATTACAGATAAAATGAAATCAATGGGCATACCATCAGTATTACTGTTAGCTTCGGGAATCCGGTTAGGTTTTTGAGCAGTTCCAGAAGGAGCAAGGTCCATCAACAGTGGCTTAACAGCAGGAATAAAGATTTCATTGTAAAACGTAATTATATCTACATGCTCCTGGCCCGTTTTCTGTTTTCAGAACCATTTGAAAGATTAGGATTTCCTTAAAATATATACATATATATATGTATATGTATATATAAGGACCAAAACGGAAGATATTGAGTAACATACACCATGACGCCGTGTTGATGACCAATCAACAAACACACTACGAAACACTTGAGGTTTACATTGCGGTTGCTTTCTATAGTTGTAAATAATTTCTCGAAATGTAAGGTTTAGTTGAGAAATCTGTACGACAATACATGAGAAGAGCAGGAGTTAAAGAGAAAAACCAGGCAGTAGGCTGAAGGATTTTATGTGTCATGTTCTAGCAGCAAACCTTTGCAACTCCATAAAAACAACAGAGGATGATCTGATCAATATGATGGTTAAAGAACAGAGTTGTTCGTTGACCAAGAATTTGCTGAAAAAGACAGTAAACGCTCTCCCTTGTCTGCTGAGAAAGTTGCATCCTTTCAACCATACCATTGATTCTGACAGCAGCTAGCTTTGCAATCTAGGTAACACAAGGAGTTTGCAATGTGTTAATTTAGAAAAGAGAAAATAATAGAAATTGATAGGGAATGTCATCATCGTCGTCATCATCCTGCCTTTATCCCAATTTTTTTTTTTTTTTTATATTTTATTTTATTTTTTATAAGTCATCCTGCCTTTATCCCATTTGAAAATTAATAGGCAATGTACAGTAAGAAAACTAATTCCTGTTAAAGATCATGATATGATCAAAATAGAAAGTCAGGCCAATGTAGCAAATTTTTCATCACAACAAATTGTTGAGACCAGAGGCTATCCGCACCTTGCTACCTTTTAAGATAACTATAAAACCAGTGTACATTTAATTGGTCTCATATGCAGTATATGGCACATCCACCTTAAATTGCAATGGAAACCTCAAAGTGAAGAGCTAAGAATAAGCTGTAACAGTTTGAACTACAAATGTTTATCTTCTGGAACAATGTCATCCAAACAATAAATGTTAAGTGTCGTGTGCCCCAACAAACGCCACTCCCTCTGCACACTGTGAGAAAGTGGAAGAGACAAAGGATTGCAAAAGATAAAACAAATAAAAGAAAATGGAAAAGAAGCCTGCTTCGACCTCACATGCACATAGTACGTCTATCTGAAAGAATCTTGAAAGTTATTGTATCACTGAAATGGTGGAAGTTACCATTAGAACATTCGAAGTGAAAAACAATACCTTGCTAAAGAATATGCTGACTGCAGTTTCTGCACATGTTTCCCCTCCACCTCCTGGATTTGGCCTTGTTGGACTGCAGATAATTATCAAATTGCGAAATGCAAATTAGAGTGAAATGAAAGAAAACCACTAACATGCTGAAAATAAATTAGATTTGTAATCTCATGCCTCCCAGAGTTATTACGAACAATACCTGGCAAATGCAGACTGCAAAGCAGGCGGTGGTAGTTTTGATTTGAGATTATTGAAGGTCAGAAGCCGATCCTTCACTGGCGATGTAAACGAATTTCGCTCAACCAGCACACTTCGATGTTCGGTACACAGTCTCTTTGGTGACCGAATATCTCCATTCTGACCTGGTTAATGTCAATTTAACAAGTTTATAAAAATCCAGCTACTTCATCAAAAAGAAACAACAGAAGTCGTGAATCCTGTGTTTTACATTATCATGTCATGGGCTACTTCATGATTTGTGTCCAAGTAAAAAAAAAATTTCTTTACTTTATGTTTATGCAACTAAGAACCAATAAAGAATAAGAACGCCATGTAAAGACTATTTAAATTTTTACCAGGTAAAGTTTCATGTTTCTGTAACGATGGCACAGGAGGTAAGCCTCCACAAGAAATGTTCATATGCATGGCAATTGCATCCAAAGATGGCATAGGTTCCGCCAACAACCCAAGACAGTTTATTTCTGTGGCAAGGGCCGGTCTTGCCACCATCAAGGAATTGTACATTGAAGAGCCCTTTTCCCATACCATGCTCTCCAAAAGTCGCTCTTCCAACGAGTTAAGATGTCGCCTCAATTCTCTTGGAAGAGAATCCTCATGTCTAATGAAACTCTCTATCACCTTGCTAAGATCAAAAGCTGTAATTCCAGTTCTCTCCAACACTGCAGGAAATAGCATCGTTACTGTCTTATGTGTCGCAAGAACTAGTTCTGCTGAACAGGCAAGCATACATCTATGAAATCTCTCATTGGTTAATAATGAGGTCAAATTGCTTGCATGAAAGATCTGGGCCTCTGCTGTACACATTGCTTGCAAAACCTTATAATATAACTTGAGTGCTTCCGATCTTCGTTGTTCAGCCCATATGTTGTCCATCAGGTTTGTAAATTGCAAGCTTCCAGGGACACAACGCTTTCCCAGACCACTGTTAGGAAATATTGCTTCTAATATTACACGAGCCCTGCGTATCACATCAGTAGTTAAATCCCTATCACATGATGACAGGAATCGCTCCAGTTCAGATGAGGGTTTTGATGGAAGTGGTGAAATTACTGTCCGAAGCCACTTTGCAGTTGTCATTGCTGTGCTTACAGGAGTAGCTGCCATCTTTGAACTACTACCAGGAAGAATACCATTTGCATGAGATGCAGATGGAGAGCGGTACGGGGAAAGTGGACTTGTGATTGTCTTTGCTGGAGACGCTATTGAGTCAATTTTCCGCTACACAGAACAGAAACAGCCACAAATAATTTAGTCAATTGCATTAGTATGTGAGTTTTGTTGAATTGCATCCATCAACGAAAACATACCTTCTCCCCGTTGACATTCATAGCACCCCCAGACAAGCTCTCAGAACCAAGCAGGCTGTCCTCCTCATTGAGAAACACCCTCTCATCCAGTTCACCATTACTACAAAATGCATCAACATAATCCTTTTCTAAAATTTCTAAACTGGAAGACAAAGATGATTCCTCCATTAGATCTTCAAAATAGATCAAACCATCTGCATTAAAGAGAATAAGAATTCCAGTAAAGAAGCACAAACTAAAAGGTATGATTGATTCAATAACAAAAATCCAGTAACTAAAATTGGATAACCAACCTGTATCGATATTGTCTAGGTTTTCTGTTCTACATTCTGAAGCTGAACGTGGTTTTTTTTTCAAAATATCTGCTATTAAATTATTGGCCTTTTCCATTGTTTTCCTCAACTCATCTTCTGACGTCTCATGTTTTTTGCAAAGTGATGCAACCAGGTCCACACCTTTGCTGCCATTCTTAACTGCAAAGGAGTCAGCACTTGGCACATTAAGAAATGCAAACATAGAACTCCCAATCCAACCCCAGGGAAAAAAATTTAGAAAAAAAAAAAAAAAAAAAAAAGTTACCAAACCATGGCGAGTCATCAATACAGAAATTCCTTGAGCGAATTGGAACGTGAATAATCAAGATAGCCTGTCAAAAATTTCATTAGGCATTAGCAAAGAACATTTATCTTATTAAATATCCTTTTGTAAATACTCAAAGGAAACACATAAAACTAAGTTTTATTTATTTATTTATTTTTCCTTTAGTAACAAACAACAAATCATAACTACAAAACTAACACAGCTGATATATCTAGAAGTGTAACTGACCAATATAGCAACCAAACCATGAGTGCAAGTCACTAGGGCTTCAAAGCGACTAAATGCATGGATACGGAGTGCTAGAAACAGCAACCACCCAAATCGATGGTAGTCCGACACGTAGCCTGTGGCATCCGTAACAGCTGACTGCTTGTCAACATTTACATCACTTGTCAAGAAGAATTCCAGGTATGCACGTTTGTAGTACCTTGTGTCATGCAATCAACATAGTTTAACACTATTAATGTACACATCCATCAAATAGAAAAAGAAAAACCGCATACCATAAAATGAAGCTTTTCCATGCAGTAACACATTTTTTATAGGCATGAATTGAAAACCTGATGTGACAAATTCATTTTAAATGTATCATGCATCATGATCAACGGTCTAAACTATATGCAAAATCCATTTAAAAGAAGCTACTACATAAATTCCCATGTTCAATTAAAGAAAATGTAATTATTTCACAACCAATGGCTACAATGTACCTGGTTTGTTTCACTGACGCAATTACATCGTCAGAATTTTGCTTCATCTAATAAAAGATTTGTGATGGATCATATTGAGAAGGTGTGACAATATTGCATGACATGGAAAAGAAAAATGTTCTGGTAGCCAACACCAAATAACTGTAGAAGGCCTTTTGAGAAGAATTAAATCAATAAATTTGATAGCTTTCAAATTTTATTTGGCAAACACTCTACACTGAAAGGTTGACCATGGTTCGGGTCCCAACAAAAGATATGGTTAAGTATGATGTTTAACCAATTGGCATTTATTCATGACAGGGTTTATGTAACTCCAGGCCCAACTGAAAGCACAAGTCATCTCCAACCAACTCCAGCGTCCAATTCAAACTGTCTAGAGATGATGCTGGTGTCATTAGACAAGTTCACATCAAAAAAGTTTCAGAATTTCATATGAGCACCTAGGTACACCGTACATCCCCCTTGGCATATCCACTAAGGGGCCACAGGGTCAGAATAAGACAGATGTGGCCTCCACAAAAGCGATTATAATTAATATTACACAGCCATCTGATGTTGGTTATTTGTTCATTTTTGCTATGCGAAGGTAACTTGATGTGTAAAACGATCTATTTCCATAAGCCAGGACTGGAGAAAAGAAGGAAATTACTAAAAAAATAATAATTCATAGGTCAAGACACAACTTAACTCAACAAACATTAATTTTAACTAGTTGGGATCAGCTAACGCAATCGATTCAGCCCAATTTCAAGCAATAGCTTCCACTAAATCCTTGAATTATTATTATTATTTTTTCACAGCTCCATGGCCTTGCAATTGTTCTTTTTCCAACGCAAATTAAATCAAGTTAGTCTCTCATACTAGTGCAATATAGGTTTATTTGAACAGGGCTAAACCTTTTTTCCCCATTCTATCTTCAATCGATGTCACCTCTAACTTTTTACAAGTGCAATTATATCTTATTATCTTTTCCAGTTGGAACTCTTACTAACCAAAAAATTCAAAAATCTCATAATAAAATTACAGGACTTGTAAGAATTTAAACCGTTAAAGTAATATATCAAAATTTGTTGTTAGCAATAACATTACTCCACAATGTCTTTTGCTTATAGAATAACTGATCGGATATAAGTACACTCCTACACCAAATAGAACCTAATATAGCACTACTTCACTAAAACCTTACGTTACAACTTACAGATTAATAAGTGCATTCAGTAACAAGAGTTTTCTTCCACCACTCCCCAAATCACACCACCACCAACAACAAGCAATGCCACTCACACTAACACCACTTCTTCCAATTTTAAAACCACCAGAACTACATTCAGTACCATGAAACACTGACACACCTATTAATGATAATAAAGGTTTTTGGGACTGCTTGAACTAGCATTAGCCACTCACTGCACCAGCATTCCTTTAGGTATATTACTCACAATAAATAAATGCAAATAGAGAGATCGCCAGTTTACATTTTTAATAGCAATATGACATAAAAGACACAGTTAAAAAATGTGGCAGCGTGTCTAATTGAGAAACTTTTATAACCTAAATTAATCAACCAACTGTATATTACATTATTAAAACATCAATAAGACAGGAGAAAAAAAGGTAAAAATACCCACTTGCTTAAAAGGCTCAGGTGCACAAAATTAGCCTGCAACTCCTTTGCCTGATTGGAGGGGAGAAAAAATAAGCATAGAATCATGAAGCTCAAACAGAATAAACATATGTAGAAACTATGCAGGCACGCATTGGCATAACAGCATAACCATATTGAAACATAAGTTTAACTCTCCACAGTGTTATACCTCAAGTCTCTTTTCCCAGTCTGCGCCATACATGGTACATAAAATTGGACCAACCCTGTCAATGAACTGAGGAAGTTCTTTGAAGAAGTCCACAATGCTGTGAAGGGGAAAGAAATTTTAATCAGAAACACGACAGAAAATTTATCAAAAACCAAAAACAGAAAGGAAAACTAGACCGACATACTTCAACTTTGCAACTCTCAATATCTGGCATAAAGTAATTCCGTTGTTATCAATCCCCTGATTCATATTATCTGCAGTCATCTGAATTAATCTTTTTGCAGAATACAAAATGAATGCAAACCAATACCGTTCTGCTTCCTCTGGCTGATAGAGAAGTGAAATTCAGTTACTCACACAGAGAAATCACCTTCTATTTCAATTTCCACAAAACAAAACATAGAAACAATTCACAGGAAGAAAAATGAACAAGAAATAAACAAAGAAAGAAATTGACAAAGTTAGGGTAATTACAGCGCCATTTCCAATAGCCGAAATAGTTGTTGACAAAAGGTGTTTGCTTTCATTAAACAGCTTCATGGTTTGAGTGTAAGTTTGTTCATCTAATGATAGTCCATTCTATGACAAATCGCAACAATCAAATCAGCATAAGAGAGTTGTTCTAGAAACCAAATAACACATGTAATAAATTCTTTATCAAAAAAAAAAAAAAAATTTGAAAAAGAAGGAAAAAAACACTAGTGAATTTAAAAGAAAAAACCTTAAATTAAAAATAACTAAATAAATAAATAAAGACCTTGCAAAAATCTTCAAATCGAGCTTCGATAGAAGTGCCATTGTCGGAATGAGAATTATCCGTTTTCAGGTCTTCCATTTTGAAAGTAGCTGGACTGAGAGCCAGCAATCTTTCACAAACCCTAAGCTGATCTGCTAAGCATCAATTAGAACAAGGGAAAAAAAAAAAAAGGAGGGATGACAAAACTAAACCAGAAATTGATTAAAATAAAAATAGGTTAAAATGAAAGGAAGAAAGAAAGAACTTACGATTCAGTACAGAACCAAGACTAGGAGACCTCTTCAAATCTCTGATCCGCAGATCCGCAAAGCAAAACCCTAGCTTTACCAAACAATTCAACAACGAATCAAGAGGGAGTTTCCTCAGATCGAATCGAAACTAAAGTCAGGAAGCAAATCAGAAAAAAAAATAAACACACACAAAAACACCCTTTCTTTGTTTCCCCTCTCTCTCTCTCTCTGTGCTCTTTTCCCCCTTTCTCTCTCCTCTCTCTCTCTGATCCTCCGTGAGATTAGCGCGGGAAAAACAACATAACATGGAATATATTATGCGCATATATCATGACATGGCATAATAGAATAGCCGACACTACATACAAGATAGACCAATAATGGCGTGACACATCATGGAGGGTTTGGAGGATGCTTTTACCGCCAAATTACGAGATATGCCGGGAAATTACCGTTAGAGGAGGGAATAGGGATATAGAATGCCTTTCCCCAAAGGTATCTCTGCGAGTTAGGTTTTCCACGGGCCCACCTATTGGTGTCTTTATTCGGCTGCCACATCTGTTGTGTTTTTAGCTCCTTTCCAACCTTTTTATTTGCGTAAATAATTTTTACAGTACTTCTAAAAACAATTAGGTTATTGGAGCATCCAATTGGAACCTTTAATTTGAAATTGAAACTTTTCAACTAGGTTAGTTCTAATTTTAAATTTAATGTGCCTATTCAATCCTCCTAAACATATGCATATGTTTTAGTTTTAGTCATTTAAACCTAATTCGACTTCAAGTTTATTTATGTGAAGTGATAAACCGAAATCTATTAATTTAGGATGAATTGAGATGGTAAATCCAACCATTTTAGTTTGTGTCTATTGACTTGGGCAGAAAGCCAAAAATAGCAACAATTTTTATTATTTGGTTTGTGTCTCTCAGTTTAGGTCGAATTTTGCTAAAATTACTACTACTATTATTAATTTGTGGCAATCATAATCTACCATATAACATAGCCATGGATGTCAATCACTAATAAGGAATGAAGCATCCAATATATATATAATATATATATATTAAAGGTAGTAACCTAATGATATATTCTCTATCTCCTAAAATGAAATGTAAGGGTTCATATCTTATAAGAACAGTGTCTTGCCAAAAAATATATATATTTTCAATTTTGACCTAATGTTAAGTGAACTAAAGAACGAGGAGCCAACTGTTGCAACATCAATTTCTTCCTTATCATCTTGAGCAATTCTTGAGCAAAACCCTATCAAACTGCACTCTTTATTGAACAATTATTAAATAATCAAGAATTACATGGTCCAATCAATTATAACTAGACATGTAAACAGACGCGTCGATTTTATTTAAATTTTTATTTGCTTGTTAAGCTGTATTTATTGAGACCGGACAAAAATTTATTCTCTTTATAGCCATTGAAGAGCAATACCTTCAGCCACATGAACATCCATTGCATTGCATGAAGCCATAAATTAACCACACATTAACAATCTACTAGCATGGGAATTTAAAAAAAAAAAAAAAAAAAAAAAAAAAAAAAAACCATAAGCGTTGAGTTGGAGAGCTCCATTGATTTACCAATACCTTTAGCAAAGGTAGTAATGATTTTTGGGCCTCTAGGCCACCATGCTCCGCCCAAGCTGTAGCTTATGTAATTATTTCATATATTTATTATAAAATTAGCTTAATTTAAAAAAAAAAAAAAAAATGGCGTCTTTCTATAAGAGTTATAGGCTTCTATGATCTTATGTTTCTTCAACATTTAAAAATTTGGATAGCAAGAAAATAAAAAATTTGAGAAAAAGTTACTTTCCATAACCATTCGTTCTCCCATAAAATTTTGCTTTCTTGATAAAATTAAATTACGTAAACTTACAATTATGCCCTTTTTATCTTTCTAAATAAAGTGAGTTTACTCTTCAAAATTAATTATTTAAATTCTTAAATTACTTTTATTCCTTGAAAAGAGCGAAAAATGGTTATTAGGTAATTTTTATTTAGATTTTTTTGCTCTCTTATAGTAAAAATACAGACAATTTAGGTAAAACATAATATTTTCTTTTTAACTGTCATGGATCAAAGTACGAAATGGTATTTTCCACAAATTTTTTGAAAATTGTTCCTGTTAATTATATGCCTGATAAAAAAAATTAATTGTCTTTCATTCATTTCAATTTCAACATCCTCATTTCAATCAAGGTTGTTAAAATCGAGATTCTTCGCAGAATTGTTTTGGGCTCCGTAGAATCGGAATCGAAAAATTGGATAGTAAATAGTAAGATTTTATCAAATTGTAAAAAAATAATTGAAACTAACTTCTTAAATAATAAAATGTGAAAAATATAATAAAAATAAATCCAAAACACACAATATTACATATCCATGAGTTCACAAATTTCAAATCCTAACAATATTCCAAAGTCCGAATATATATAAAAGAAAATGTACTTCAAAATAACATGAGTTCACAAATCCCAAATCCTAATTCATCCATCCCCAAAAAACTAAAATTACATATCAAAAGGAATTTTTTTTTTAACTCTATGCAGTCCCCCCGGGGCATTTTTTCCTGAAAAGTAAATAAATAAAAAGACCTTTTTGTCCACCAATCCAATTGTTACGGTATATGTGACCTTATTAGTCACAAGTATGAAATTAATTAAGAGTTAGCACAACAAAATTAATGAACCACATATTAACTCAATGTCATTATACTATCAATTTAGACTACAAAATTATACCTTGGCTGGCATATCCGGCAAGTCTTCTAAGCTTCTAAATTATTTAATTTTTAATATATATGATAAGCCTTCATTTTTTTTTTTAAAAAAATTAGTCAAATGAAAATATTGATCATGAAACCAAAATTTGCCTAAACCTGTTAGCCATAAGTATGCATCCTTGAGATATAATTGATCATTTTAATTTTTTTATAATTAAACACAAAATATATTATGGAACATCGACCTGCATGATAATATGCATATATATATATATATATATTTCTTTTTCTGCCACTAATGAAAAATAATTGATATTGATGTGACTTAATCCCAACATGTTAGCCACGAGTATGCATCCTTGGGATATAATTGATCATTTTTACTTATAAAAAAAAAAAAAAAAAGATATAATTGATCATTTTAATTTTTTATAATTAAAATATTATGGAGCATCGGCCTGCATGGTCAAAATAATTGATATATATACATATATATATTTCTTTTTCTGCCACTAATAAAAATTAATTTATATTTTATAAAATAAATATTTAACTTTGTATACTATACTTAGGCTAGGCCTCTTTTATTTTGTAGCCGGGAAGAAATCAACCCAAAAATAAAGGAACCAGCCCAAAAATAAAGGCCAAAACAACCAATTTTGTAGAATTGTGTAGAATTGTACGATTTTACTCCCAATTCTACCAATTTTACCTCCGATTCTACCAAATGAACGATTTTACTAAGATTTAGATCGATTTTAGATTTTGACAAATTTCAAAATGAACATTAAATGACAATAATATCCCTTCTTATTGAATTACATTTAATATACTTTTCTTATTTAAATAAATTATATAAAAAAAAATTCATACTAATTTGATGATATATTCTCCATCAACTTTGCATAAATTTACCTTTAATTTTTTTAATTAATTGTTTACATAAAAATCTTTAGTATAATTTTTTTTTTAAATTAATTAATTTTTAAAATTTTAATGAATATATAACATGAAAAAGAAGGTATTTTTTATTTAAGAAATTTATTAATTTTTCATCAATATATTATATGAAAAAGAAGATATTTTTCTATGGTAACAAAAGTTTAAACATATTATAATAACTTTTATTATAAATAATAAAATTTTAGTAATAAGTTCATCATTTTAGAAAATAATAGTTACAAATCTATTTATCTTTTTATTTTATGATAAATTGATACTAATAATAAAATTAAGATAAATAAAATAATTAATATTTAAATAAGGGAAAACATAATAAAAATAATTCAACAAATTAATAATAATTATTTGCAAAACACAATAGTTCACAGGAGAATGTCTCTCTCTCTCTCTCTCTCTGTAGTTGGAAAAATTCAAAACTGAAAAACTAACCATATGAACCATTAACGGACAGTTGCTATATACTCCAATAAAAGTAATCCCATTATAACCGCAAATCAAGGTGGCCGTTGGTAGCGCAAAGATTGGTCCATCCCTAGACTATATCCTCTATCCCTCCTACAAGTCAGTACAATCTTCCACCTGGACCACCCCATCGCGGCTGTTGTTACTCTCTCTCTCTCTCTCTCTCTGGCCACCTGAACCACCCTCTCTCTCTCTCTCTATATATTTATATATATATATATATACACACACTTAATCATCCCCAAACTTTCACTCTCTGTTTGACAATTCTTTTAATTCGATCTCTCTTTATATTTTCACGAGTATGGCTTTGAGAGCAACGGTGAGCACTTCCATTCATTTCCCAGAATCTCATTTCAGTTTTTAACTAAAATTCTCTCCAATGCACTTGTAATCTGTGACTGTTACTGTTACGTTAATGTACTGGATTGATCCAGTGCATTACGAAATACAAATCACGGAAACATTCTCTGAATTTCATTATTATTAATTAATACACATTGGTTCATGTAGAGGTGTTGGAGATCAATGGTCAATGGACTGAGAGGTAACCGGTCATATGCAACCGCTGCCGAAACTTTTCACGCTAATGACAAGCCAAGGTTAGTAATCTTGATTATGACTTGTATAATATAAATAAATATATACTAGTAAAATGCGAGAGCTGGCTGTTTTCGATTTTGAACCCTAGCTTGACATCCAGAACCTGCATATATAAATATATGAATCATATATATGAAAGTGAAGTTGTTATCCGGTAATTAGGAGCTCTTTGAGGGGTGAGTTCGCACCAATCTACATGATGTTCGGGATGATAATGGTGGCCTTGACGATTGGTGCGCACACGGCCAAGCAACAACTGGTTCACTCCCCAGCGGTTAAAGTGAACAAGAAGAGGAGGGAATCGATGCAGGAGGTGGACAATCCGGACGCTGTGGTGGGTTCTGCAGACAAGTTTGTGAACAAGTCTTTCTTGAGGAAAGTGGCTCGCATCCAGGACCACCAGGTCCTCCGTGATTCTATGCGCCCCGACCCTTTCACTCGGTACGTACATAATTAGGTGTAACGCGCTCATAAATCATACATATTTATTACGAGAACATAACACCCATACAACATATCGCATCAAGACCTAATACACAAACATTTTTCTACAAATTGATGCAGCTCTCGAGATGTTGAGACATTGAAATCAGCTGGAGTCCGTACAAGCAGAAACTGAGCCAGGCTAGGGTTTTCATTTCAATGCTGCCTTCCATTGAAAGTTGATGATATGAGTTTGTTTGTTTTTCTGATGTGTGTTGAGGAAGAGGGGGGGTGTCTCATTGTAAATAGCATTTCATATTCTACTACTACTACTGCCTTTCAGCATTTGTTATCTTTATTCCTTGCGTTGCAGACTTCTTGTAGAACCCATCAGTTCAACAGCTTTGAATGCTGTAATGTCATTGTACATATTGCTTGTTATTTCTAACTCTAAACAGGGTAATGTGATTTCAATCCCTTGTATTTACTTGATTTCTTAAATAAAAGGAGACACCCACCATTTTTAAATTATTATTATTATTATTATTATTTTCCCTTATTTTTCTTAACTAGAGTGTATAAAATTTATGGAAATTTCAACCTTATTCTTAGGCCATACCAGAGTTGGATTGAACCAAAAAAGGTATTGAACCAATAACAGTGTACAACTAGTGTGCATTGAACAAAAGCAACCACACCACTAAGAAGTATTATAGTGACATCTGAGACCTCTGGCTCTTTAAACCAATCATAGTCACAAATAGAACTGAATTATAAGCAAACAAAACAAAACAAAACAATTGTTAATTGAATTATCTCTATTGTACAAATGAAACATCACACACATCTAGGAATATGTAATGCCCCGATACAGGAATTGGAATTGTCAACTGAAGTCTCTAGCATCACAACTTATTGGTTAGACTGGTGTCTGAACTGAGGAGCATCAATGATCCGTGAGGAGGAAGGAATGCCATAGTTGGACTGAGACACAACTAGTGCATACGTAGTAAACACACACACACAAAAGGGTCTGAACATGACATGCAAATTCATTTGAGTGCAATTACGGAGTAAAGACTCACATGACCCGCATATTCAGCAATCAGTACTCTCCCCCCACCTATAAACTGAAATAAGAGCAATTCTTGTGTCCTACCAACCAATATAAAGCCACCCATCAACTTCAAAGCAAGTCTCAGTCACTTAAATAAGATATCACCAATAAACATGGAGTGGAACATCTACTGAATTTACTTTTAAATTGAAACCCTTGACATCTTCAAAAATCAAAAGTGCATTGGATGCCAAAACCAAGTTTGGTAAGGGTAAAATACGCATAACAAATTAAGAAAGAGAGTACTTATCAAAAAAAAAAAAACCCACCTTTGGAAAGGGAGCTTAGAATAACCCCCAAAAGGGTCAAAACTATAATTAAAAGAATATACATGGCTAAAGAATGAAAGAGGATTAAGCTAATCTTATTGAAATGAACTTCTGTTAAAACAAATAGTTTTCATTGCAAGGAGTAAAAGACAATGATATACAGGCCTTGTCTGCTTGTTTCTCACTAATTTCACCAAACGAGGTGCATTTTAGAATTAAGGTATCAAATTCCAACCAGAGGCTTAAAATACATTAATGAATTTGATCATGAATGTTTGGTTAAATTCATAGATTTGCCATTAAAATTTCTATTTTAAGTTTATGTATGACTAGGAATGAAATTTATTAATGTACTGAAGCTGAAGAAAAAATAATGATATAATCAATAATATGGATTCAACAACGTAACATAAACCAATTTAAAAGGCAACAAGACGATGCCAACAACTTCAATGCCCATCCAGTTCTCCGTTACATGAAAAGCAAGCAGAAGCAACAAAGCACATACTACACAGCACTATGGCAATATATCAATACATGGATCAGATTAAAACTAATAAATAAAAATACATGCAAGTTTAAAAATAATCAACAATCAGTGATGAAGTGAGCTTAAGAAGTAGAACTAAATGCAAGATGAACAGAGGAGAAGAAATTAGAGAGAGAAAAAGAGTGAGAAACCGAGGAACAACTCAATGAAGAAGATAGTGTAGAGCTGGAAAGATCTACGTACAACAAGGATGAAAGTGAGAGAACAAACCTCCTGGAGGAGAGAGAAAAATAGCAAAGTAGTTCTTCTCGCCGCTGGAGGAGCTTGCGGTAGATGTAGGAGGAGATCGCGACAGATGGTGGAAGAGATTGGCTTTGAGTAAGAAACGATTTTGATCTAGGGCGCAAAGCTGAGGCGAACTGAACTGGTTTGTCATTTGGCATAAAAAAGTCGCTACAATGATTTTATCTCCGCTAGTGTCATTTTGCTCCAGCATCCCGCTACAGTATTTCCCTAACATAAATGGTTTAAACATCCTTTTGGTGTTTGCAAAATCATGCCTGGAGCTACTTTAAGAGTGTTAGAACTATTTATAAACAACACAAATATTATCAAACATGTTTTTTTCCTCAAATCTGTTTAACTAAAAATTAAACATCAAACATAAATGGTTACCAAACGAGGCCTAAACTATATTATTCTGATTTTGTTTGCTAATCCGGACCAGTGGCCTACAACTAGATGTGAGTGCTCCACCCCTACTGTTATTTTTTTAAGGCAGAGTAGTACTGATCGATCATCTATAAGTAATGCAGTGCCTCCTCGTCTAAGTTCTGCAGTCACTTTGTTAGGGACTGTTACTATACTACTTTGCGTGCATTCACTTTACACCCAAGCAATGTCTAGCTCATGGTTTGCTTGCTGTGGCCAAGTCCTCTCAGCAGGTTTAGCCTATCTACCATGTCTGATTTACTTCTAATCAGCACAGGTTGCTGCAACTGCAACTGCAACTGCACCTGACTGCATGTTTCTAATTTCTAATGTCCCCGAAGGATCTTGACAACATTGCTACATCATTCCACAAGTATCTCAATGGCTTCAACATTCGCTATCTGCATGACTACTCCCCTGCACCTATTGCAGAAGCCTCTGTTTGATCAGAATGTCTGTTTTCTGCTTTGTTCGGTAGGAAGGAAGGAAGTGGGGTGGAAGGAAAATAGTAAGGAAGGAACAAACTTCCCTGTTCGGTAGAGATGATATAAAGAAAGCAAGGATAATATGATGGATGCGTCATCCTTCCTCCACAAATTTTCATCCGTCCAAATATGGGCGGAAGAGAGGAGAGAATACAATTGAGCCTATTATAGAAGTTTTAAATTCCTATATCATCCTTCAAAATATTTAACAAATCCCACAAATAAAGTAAATGATGGGTTTAATGGTAGAAACAACTTAAAAATCTCTCTTTCCTTCTATCCTACTGATCAAAGTAAATTGTCATTTTCTTCTCTTTTCTTTTATCCAACCTAACAAAAAGAGGAAAGACCATAATCTCTTCTCTAGGGATGGCTCATTCATCCCTTCTTCTATCACTTCCATCCAATTTTCTTCCTTCCTACCGAAAGAAGCATTCAGCTACAGCATGCCTCTTTATACCCATGACACATCAAAGGTAACGTTGTGAAAGCCTAACACCTAACACATGCAGCAACAGAAAAACCATTTGCTATATCTATTTTTACAGCATTAGTTACTTGCAGCACTATTACCTCAAATGATATGACCCTACCATCCATATGATACAAATATGAAATAACTGTTAAGGGTCCTGTGGCCTAACCATCTACCTCCCAAAGTGAAAGGTGAGCTTTAGAGTCCCCAAAGAGACAAAATGGGTGTGTGAGTAGGGTGTGTGTGTGTTGCTTGCCAATAAAAAATAATAATAAAATAACTGTTACATCAAACTCCTCCCTCCTTCCATATGATAAGTTGAGGGTTCAAGTCCTGTTGGGACAAAGGCGTGTGTTTGATTTACAAAAACAGAAGTTCAATCTAGGAATTTATGTCAACTACAGCCTGTGGTATTAACGGCAATGCCTAAAGTAATCCCTAAGTTGGGTATGCAAAATACTGCTCATCAATTTAGAGCATGTAAGATGAGTACATCCCCCTGGCATCAAAGTAAAAATTCTACCCATTGATATCAAATTGGAGTGAGCTATTCCCAAACATCAAATTACAAATTCACCACCTCCATGTTCAGGGGAGGTACATTAAAGAGTTAATATCATCAGCAAGACAAATGGGATCTCCCACACAAGATTCCTGAAAACTTTAAGCAAAAATTGTACAATCAAGGGTTGCTCATATACAATTTATGAGGTCAAAAAGGTCAAAAGACACTGATAAATCTTTTTTTTTTTTTTTTGATAAGTAAAAAGGCACTGATAAATCTTATTAAACTCCCAACAACCAGATTTTCTGGCACTAGTTCCTCACGTTTGATACTTGGAGCAACCTGCTTAAGAAATTATCGCCCGATCTCTCTTTAAGATTATACATCCTCCAAGGTCCAATAAGATTACCAGAAAGCTTACTGAAGTAAGCCGTATCATACAGAAGTGATACTGCTTTCATTGTTAATGACAGAATGAATCATCTTTATGCCATCAACACCATAAGGATGACTGATTAAGAACTTGTGAAGGAATGCGGGAAGTTAATGTTAGTAGACAATTTCCAGGAATATAATAGCTAAGCATGAAGGTAAACAAACACATTCAATATCTGCAGACATCTCGTAAGAGGCATAAAGCAACATCGGTATTATGTACTGTAGTATGTAATTCCATTTGACTGGTGCTGTTGCATCTGTGAGAGATTTTTTTTTTTTTTTTTTGATAAGTTCATCCGTTAGAGAGATTTTCCAACATCAGATTGTTTTTCCACCGTCGCTGACCAAATTCAGAATCTTATGTTAAGCCGTGCAAATATTTAAATATGCCAGTCAAAGAGAGAGAAAACCTTGCAAAGTTTCTTTCCAGAATCCAGGTGCAAAATACGGTATAAGGAAGCCTTACAAGTACACCATCAGGTACTGATAAGGAGAAATGGCGACATGGGATTTAGTGTGACATGGGATTTAGTGTGACAATCAAGATGAAAAATGAAGTGCCGTGGAAATGCAGTGTGCTAAATGTTCCCATCCAAGTTAAGATGCTAAAATCCTTAACAACTACACCTGGTCACACAATCATGGCCATATTTCATCTCTAGGTCTTTTCTTAAGTTGCAAAAGTAGATTAGATGTTATAGATACAAAGTGAAATAGTTTAAGTTAACTTTGTGTCCTTTCAATACTGAAAAAGATTAAAAGAAAACATACAAGCAGAAATAACCACAATACAAGCTTACCTGTTTCGGGCATCATTCTCCATACCAGCCGAGGCGAGTCCAAATCCAAGACTCACTGATATATCGGTGGATATCGCCACATCTAATGATCTGAAAGGTCAAGAAATTTCTATGATGGCGATAATCAAAGCGACAAGTCCATTACAAAGCGTTGGCGTTAGCATCTGCATTGGCGGCCGCGTCCGTGTCCTCGAACCATGGGACTTTCAGGTGCTCTAATGATAAATCATACAAAAAATGGCTTTAGCACAAAGTTGCATTCTCAGATTTTTTATTTTTTTCTTATATTTTTATAAGAGTATTAAAAAGCATTCAAAAGGGGGAACCCATCCCTCATAAGCCACACAAGGCCAAATAGGGCTCTACACTCTCAGAGTTCTAAATATTGACAATCTCTCCATGGATTTACAAATTCTCCCTAGAAACCAACAAGAAAGAGTGCTAATAATTGAGAACTTCAGCTCCCTAATAAAAGTGCCCTTTCCTTATAAGGATCTCCGGTTTCTTTCGAGCTATAGACACCACCAGACACACACAGGCGCTACCCTCCAAAAATCATGGACTTGGGCCACCACTCTCTCTTAGATTTGAACTCACGGCCTTGCACTTGCCAGCTAGAGCCTTGATCATTGACCAAGCAATGAACATTAATATTCTTCGAGCAGAAAGAAAATTAAGTCTTAGTTTCAAAAAAGAGCCTATAACTTTATGTAGGTGACACTTTCCCTCCCCTTCATTCGCTGATTTTATGTCTTTTTCTTCAAAAACTTCAGGTCTATCTTAAAGGCATGAATACAACATCTATCGGTAACATACTTATAAAACACGATTACCAAAGCCATGGAAGTTTTTCTCGTCGCACGGCCTCCACATGTACCCATACACATGTCTAATCCCAAAATCCAGTTATTCAGCTTTTAATTATTTTTGATGCATTTCACTGAATTTTAAGTTGTTACCAAAAAAAGCTTAAACACGTTTACCTTTTACTTTAATTAATGACCACAAAATGCACTTAAACAACAATTACTTAAAAAGTTGCTAAATTAATTTAAAACAACATTCCAGCCTCAATCATACAAACATACATAATCCTCTAGTGACCGCTCCGAATTGGCTGATAGGGAAAATATAAGAAGCAAAGGAGAAGAGAAGGAGGAAGAAGAAGAAAATAAAAGCAGCAAAGGAAAGAAGAAGAAGAAGATTGTGAGGAAATGTTTCTTCATAGCTTTCAGGTGGTCAATAGTAATACTGGGGAGACCCCGAGTATTCAGAGGGTATTACAGAATTCGACAAGGGAAACCATATGCTTTACATGCATAATCATTACCCTATGACGGTCGATATGGTGGTTGTGCACTTGGCAGCATTGACTATCACTAGTATAGGATGAATCACAAAGTCAAAAGACCTCCAAACCGAAGTACCGAACAACAATAACTGAATCGTCAAATGATTACGTTAATGTCGTCTTCTTTTTTTCTCTTTTCTCTGTAACCTGTCCACTTTTACCAAGAAATGACCCCTTCTAATAGACACATATAAGAACGAATCCAAAAGTTGAAAGGACTATGCTCTTAGAAAAATCAAATTCCACTCTTAACATGATAGTATAATTCAACAGACCTCTCATGCCTTGGTTAATCCAAGTAATAAGCAAACTAAAAAAACCATTAGTTTCCATAAAGTACCATAGAGTGAAAATAATGCTACCATTCTGATCTTTTATAAATTATTCAAACTGGCTTGAACTGCTGAAAAAGCAAACACCAAAATTGGATTTTCAACTAGTTCTTTAAGGAATGAATGCGATAATGAAAATCGAGATGCAACATGAAATAAAAAGATCTAGGAGGAATGAATGTGAGAATGAAAATCAAGATGCAACACAACACAAAAATAAATCACTCTACAACCAGCAGACCAAAATACAATAGTGATGCAATAATAAATTTTGTCCATGATAGCCGCTGTGGTATCAAAGACATCTTATATATACCTCCATTTTCTTTTTGTAATGGAAAGACATCATGACAAAATTAAAATCTATAATAATCTATGCTGGAAGCCACAAAACCCGGGAAAAAGCAAAAGAACGAAATATGAAATATAACTATGGGCACCCAAATAGTGTAAATTGGGTCACAATGAGAAGAATGATCCATATCACAGCCTTACATGATAAGCACATGAGAGCAGAGCGGCATATACTTGAAGCACACAAAGCCAAACATAGCTTTCTGAAAGCAACTGTGAACTATGTTAACTCTGGCCTCTGGCTAATGATTCAGAAGTCCAAACAGCAAAATGGAAACAATAGACAAACAATTTTAACTTTACATTCAACAACAGATTAGACACACACTTTTACTACCATAGCAGTTAGAAAGGTTAATTTGTATCCAACATACGATGCAAGATGGTAATAAATTTCAGATATATAAGAATGAATAAAAGTTAAATAAAGATAAATTATCCACTTAAATCAGCAAATACAAACTATCTACCAGGAAGGAGAAAAAAAAGAAAAAAAAAAAGAAAGAAGATTAGAAATTGACAGAGAGAAATCCTTGACAAATATATGAATGAAAGTCCACCAAATTGAGAATTAGTGATAGCATGGCAGCAATAGCACAAAGAAGAAAGAAAGAAAGGGAACAATGTCATGGCTTACCACTTTTAGACCTTTGGTATTCTCATTATAACAATCTAGGTGCTGATATTCCTATCAACCTAACTATGTTCCTAGTATTGCATAGATGTTGGACCATCTTCAATGAGCAAAAACCGTGTCATTGCGCCTAGGTGGTCTGTCAGGAATTGATCCCGGTTTGAATTTTGAAGCCTCGTGTCTGGCCAGTTCAGGAGGCACAGGACTGTTACTCTGAACAAGCATCTGCTTTAGATCATAGAAGACCTCAGTGTCATGCAAAGTCAAGAATGTTGTGGCAACACCCGTCTTCCCTGCACGTCCAGTTCGTCCAATACGATGCGTGTACGTTTCAATATTTCCAGGCATATCATAATTTATGACTTGGGCCACATCAGGAATATCAATACCACGCCCTGCTACATCCGTTGCAACCAATACATTGTATCTTTTGGTCCTGAAGCCTTCAAGACTAATCTCTCTCTGCTCCTGTGACTTCCCACCATGCAAAGTTGTCACCCGATAGCCAGCCTTATCCAAATTCTTGGAAAGATTATCAGCAGACTTCTTAGTGTTGATAAACACAATTGCCGTCTTATCCCCAAGTTCATCCAACAATTTCTGCAACTTATACATTTTCTCTGATTCCTTCATCATGACGACATGCTGGGTGATCAAATCAGTTGTCTTTCCTGCCGTGCCAATGGTGACAACCACGGGATTCCTTAAATACTTTCTAGCAAGCCGCTCCACAGCGGGTGGCATCGTAGCACTGAACATATAAGTTGTCCTGTAAATCTTTCTCTCATCAAGCTCCTCATCTTCATTCTCTGGTTTCAAATTGCTAGAAGGCATTGCATCCAGGACACCCATAACCTGTGGCTCGAAACCCATATCAATCATGCGATCAGCTTCATCAAGAACAACATAGTTGCATTGATTCAGAACAGCATAACGCCTCTCCAAGCAATCAATAAGTCGACCAGGCGTCGCAATCACGACCTCACACCCTTGCCTAATCTTGAAACCCTGTTCCTCAATTGACTGCCCACCAACAATTGACACCACTTTGATACCCAAATAATGTGCAAACTTCACTGTTTCATCCTCAATCTGCTGTGCAAGTTCGCGAGTAGGTGCCATCACAACAGCATAAGGCCCCTCCGCCTCATTCTCTTCACTCATAGGAGGAAGCCTAGTAATGTATGTCAACATGGGAAGAACAAAAGCAGCAGTCTTACCCGAACCAGTCTCGGCTACGCCAATGACATCACGCTGCTGCAGTCCAAGAGGAATGGCTGCCATTTGTATCGGAGATGGCTTCTGGTAGCCTGCCCTTTCCACAGCCTTCAACAGCTCAGCACCCAACTTACTCTCTGCCCAACTCCTCATAGGCCGAGGAATCTTGGAACCCTTGTAGGATATATTGAAATCTTCCCTGAAAATTCTCCAGTCTCTCTCTGTCATTTCTTCCAGCTTCTTGTCTGACCAATGTCTATCGACCCTCATGTCGAAAGTATCATAGAGATCAGCAGCCTCTTCCATGAGTCTCTGGGCAGCAGCCTCTTCCGGCTTCTCCTCAACCCCATCCTTCTTCCGAATCTCCTCCCTGAGCTCCTTCTCATTCTTGGCAGCGAGTTTCTTCTGTTCTCGCCGATCCATGCCGGCACGAAACCCCCGGCCAAACAAGAGACGAGCCTCGTGAGGGTTCTGGTAGAGGGCATTCATGTCCCGAGACGTGTCCTCGGTGTTCTCCCAATCGAAAGAGAATCGGAACTTCTCGCTAGGCTTAATTACCCGTTTCTTAGGTTTCTTGGACCCTAGGTACTGTTCCTTGATGGAATCAAGCTCCTTCTCTCGCTCCCTCTCCGCTAGCTTCTCCAACCGGGCTCGCTCCCTAGCCTTTTGATCTTCCTCGCGCTCACGCTCGCGGTTCCGCCGCTCCGAATCGCGGTCTCGGTCTCTCTCACGGTCGCGCTCACGGTCGCGCTCTCGGTCTCGGTCGCGGTCGTAATCGCGGGAGGAGCGGTGGTGGTTGTTGTGGTGGTGGTGGCGGGTGGTGGTGGGGTCATGATCGGAGGGTTTGGCGGTGGGGGAGTCAGAGGAGGAGGAGGGGCGGAGGAGTTCAGTACGGCGCTTCTGTTGGGCGATGTCGTCCTGACGGCGTTGAAGGGCCAACTGCTCTCTCTGAGCCTTGGTAAGAAACACTGGCTTGTTGTTGGAGTCTACTGCTTTCGATCCCATCTCATGCACAGTAGGCTTTGTGAGAGATGCAGATTTTTGATTTGAAGTTGAACCCAAACCCTAACCCTAGGGGAGTGAGAGTCGCTTGGATGATTGCAGGAGGGGAAGAGAGAACTCAACGCCAAGGATTGTTTCCTATAGGTTGTAGAAATTATTTGAGGATTTCTTTTCTTTCCTTAACTTATATATTGAATATATAAGTTTCTTGGGCCCCAAGTAGGCATTGTGGAATCGTGTGGGCCGGATCGGATCAGTCCAAGACGGTTTGGGATTTGGATATGAAAAAGGAATTGAAATGGAATTCTAACTGTATGTTTGGAACAAATTGGATTGGAAAGAAAAAGATTTCCTTAGTAACAAATCTATTAATCATAAACATTTACATAATGTTATATTTATACATAATAAATATTGGTTTATACAAAGTAGAGATAATACTGTATTTGTATAGTTCTATAAATTTTTACTTTATAAATTTAAATTTATAAAATACATAATTTTCGTTTTGTGATTATTTTCTTTTGCCCTCTCCATCCAATTTTGGAGAGCTTTTAGTTTCCTGCTTGTGAGAGGAAAGAGAAATCATCATTTTTTTTGTTTCCTTTTTTTCCTTTTCATTTATACTTATGGAAGGAGATTTTTTTATTATTATTATTATTATTATTTTATTTTATTTATTTATTTATTTTTATTCTTATGTGACTTAGCAAAATTAAATTCGGAAATTTTTGGTGTTCTCTCTTTCACATTACCTATCATTACTATTAACTTATTTACTCACTAAACTAAACTGAATATGGGGTTGGAAGACATGATATGCAACTTGAAGTATTCAAATTAGTTGAAAGAATACAGAGACGTATACGGGCAAGAGGGTTGGAAAGACCGCAGAGGTATAAATAAAGGTTAAATACGAGATAAAATATGTCAAATTTTGACTTTTTTGGACAAGACTTGAACAGATAAAAAATCTGTAATTGAAATGTCATCAATTCCAAATCTCGTTTTTAATTCCACTGTTCCAAACAACCAAATTCTTAAGAATCCCAAATCCAAATTCAAATCCCTTGATTCAAAACAAGCGGTCTTCGCTTTGATGGAGGGAATTGGAAAGTAAGGAAACAAGGAAAAAAAATAATATGGAGTAACAGCAAAATGGTACTATAATAAATTTAATAATATAGTTTTCTTTTTTATTTTTTCTATTCTATACATTTTTCTAATCATTTCTTTATTCCTTCTTTTATCTCATCATAGCTAACGCTGTTCTTTTAATGATAATGGTACAAAGAGCATAAAACAATTTTATATTCTTTGGTGTTTAGTATTGACCATCGTAAATTAATAAACACCTGCTAATATAAATGAATATTTATAACAAATTTACCCACAAGAAACAATTTATTAAAAAAAATATATAAAAAAGGCAAATAAATACATAAAGAAGTTCTAATTGATGAGTCTAGAAACAATTTCCATAACACAAGTATACATTTATATAATTGTATCAAGACTTACATCATATGCAACCAACCAAGTTGAAGACAGTTGGAAGCTGAATAAAAGAAAACACGGACGCAATCTTAGCAGCTCAGTGCAGCCAAAAATAAACAGCTGACTTTTCGGCCATGAAGATATCCACAGCAATTTTTTTTTTTTTTTTTTTTTTTTTTCTTTAAAAACACACACACATTTTCAAAAAACTTTTCTTTCATACCGGCAAGGAGAGAGATGAACGGAAAGGAAAGTAAAAGAAGCATAAAAAGGGGGAAAGAGAAGAAAAACCATTACACCAAAAAAGAAAACAAAAAAAGTAAAAAAAAAAGGGGGGGGAAGACCTAATTACAATTTTCTTCTAACACAAAAATTTACAGATTCAAGAGAAAATATATAGGCACCGGAATTTTTTTTTTGGATAAGTAATATAGGCACCGGAATTTACAGAACAGTGTTGATATGAAGGGCTTTAAGCAGTGAAGTAGCCATCTGTTTCACCAAAACTTGTCCACCAGAGCGCTGCCCATCTCTGCGCTCCTCAATCAAATTCTGAAGTTTCTGAGGCAGATCATTCTCCACAATCAATTGCTTCGGGCGTGGGTGGTGCTCATACACAGCCTGACATAATAAACTTTAAAGTGAGCAATATAAAAGGCAGAAAGCAGTTGCTAGCATTACTTTAAATGAAACATCAAATAATAATGGTGAACACGCACGCAAAAAACTTTCTACCAAAATTCTTGGCAACACCCAATTATACATGTAAGTTATTATTAAAAGATATATGCAATCTTCTTGTGCAAATGTGGTTCTTCTTGACCATATACCATCAAATCTTATGAGCCCTGTTACTCGATCAATGCTCTACCAAACAATAATAAATCAGATATACATTTTTCCTCGTATGTAAACCCAACTCAACTGAACTCAGCCATATTTGAACCCCAATTGTTACATCAGCAACAAACATCTTCCCACCACCACCTCATCCAGAATGGCCTTCTATTTGGGCAATTCAGTTTTACACCAAGGAAAAGATGGAACATCAAATGACTTGATAAACAAATAAACTGGAGTCTGAAATGGATCTCAGCATCATAACAATTGCGCACAACCATCGGTTCACGAGCCCGCTCGAAGCTGGCTGAGGTACGTATTATACAATTAACTACTCTTTATGAAGGTGAAACAGTTGCAGGGCAATATATACATTTTTCCTTGTATGTTTTTGAATTTAAATTTTTACTTGTAGCATAGGTAATGAGAACATAATGGTAAAAAAATATATAAAAAAAGTTTTCCCCTTCCTTACCAAACAATAGAAAATATTAAATCCTGCTCTTCTCTTCTAGTCAACCAAACAAAAAGAGAGGACAACTCTCCCTTCCCTAAGGATGCCACCCTCCCTCCCATCTACTTTTCATCCTTTGTACCGAACAAAGCATAAAGGTTAGTTATTGCAAAGGTGTTGCTTAGCATATACTACCACCACTAGAAACAGCCTTCAATACCATGAGCTCACTGCTAGGAACATCCTTCAACCACCATGAGCTCATCAAGATCCACATCAAATATATACAATTTGGTCATGTCAAAATGTCGATATCCTTTTCGAATTAGGTAACCTATATAAAATAACATTTGCTGAAAACAAAAACGAACGCTCTAAAGTTATTACTAACTTTTCCTACACGACACTAAATTATTTGTTCCCTCCGAGTATACTATCAAACTTGAATGATGGGAAGGAGCTTCACAAATAAAATTTCAAGCCATGGCAACTCGAAAACCCATAACCCAACCAAGGGAAAGCTAGCAACACCAGTCAATATATTTATACACTAAGAATTTCCAAGAGACCAAGTGTTAATAATATAAACTGCATAATGTGCAGCGTAAAAGAGCACAACAAAAGCACAGTTCCCACCTTTATTAGTTTGAGCAGATTGAGACGAGCTATAGCGTCCTGGTGGTCAAGCCTTGAAATAAGCAATGGTGTCAAGCCATTAACAGCCAAAGTTGTATTAATTCGAGATGATTTCCTGCATTGGAACAATCTATTGCTTAACTTTCTCAAACTTGCATATCAGAAATAGAATTGTAAAACGTGACACAGATAATAAGCTTCGTTGATAAGCTCTCATGATGGTATTATAATTTGAGCAGCTCTAAACAATTTCCAACATCAGTGGCACAATGGTGCACATTTGATGCATCAATCAGGGATATCTAGAGATCTACACACTGATACAACCATACGGTGACAAAATGATAAACAAATCTGTTCTGGACAGCCATTAAGACACAGAGTAGTGTGTGTGTCCGACGGGGGAACCTTAACGATGACAGACAGGAACAACCATCCATCAAATTCAATTTCAATAAATTTATTCTTTTTGGCCGATAAATGGCCAAAGCACAGATGAAAGCATCCCCTTCTTCAATGCAAATCATATACACCAATGTGATGTTGATTGCATTGCTGAATCTAGAATATCAAGATCTTGAAGGGGAAAAATATGACCTTAATCTATGCAGATGAAATATATAATTAAAATGAAAGATTAAAAACCACATACGTAATAATTTTCAAGAAGGGCTCCAATATATGCACAAAATGCTGTTCCGGACAGCACTGAAAGAAATTCACCAATTTCTGAACTGCATCCTTTTTCAGTAAAGCTTGTTCTACTTTTCTGTTGTCATTGTCATGTGCCAAGCAAACAGCAATAGAATCTAATGCTGTCACTGACCAAAACTCATCTTCAAGTAGTCTCAGGTACACATCCAACCCACCGTGAGCCCTTAACTGCTCCCTAGAATAACGTGATGCATGAGCCATATCACATAGTAGAGGCAGTGCATATTGTTTCAAGGGAGAACATGACATGATGAAATGCAATAAATGTGGAATGATTCCGTTCTCTGCTGCTTGTTCCTGTCTCCTTTTATTAATCTTGCAGAGGTTGAACAGTGCATTAAGGACCTTCAGTAAATGAACTTCAGTGAGAAACTATCCAAAAATGGACAATTTAGAAAAGCTTAATAACTAAAAAACCAGCACAAAAACAGGTAGATCATCCACATTTGAAACACACATACCCAAATTTTTTTATCAAAGTGTTAAACAAAGCAACTTACTATAGTCTAGAGAAGAGGAAACATCCATATATGCAACTTCTTTTTTTTTAGTTTATTTAATATCATAATTATCAGTCTTAATGTGTGCATATGACAATAATAAAAAAGAACCTTAGACAGTTAAACAGTGATAAAATTGTAAATGTAAGTTCCTTATACAATAGGCATTAAAACCTTCCACTCTTCAACTAACTTTCAAGTAAGAAAGGTGAACGATTTGTAAGCATCCACCAAACACGTGTCAAGCATGGATACGTATATAGGATATTGACATGAAATACTACAAATAAGGCAATACTACAGATTCTTACAAAGTAACACAACAATATATTAATGTAGAATTGTAGATATGTAAATTAAAATATATACGCACCTATGTTTAATATAGGTAGGTATATACTGTTTCTAACATTTCATAATAAAAATTATGAAAACGAGAATTACATTACATAGACATAAATGTTGGACTAAATTTGACATGGCTATATTTCCAACATACTATACTTTTTTCAAACAATGAAACTATCATATTATACTTCAAACAAAAGGTTATACTTCAAACAACATACTATACTTTTTTAAATCTAATCTTTTTTCAAACAATGACACTATCATATTATACTTCAAAAGGTTATATTTTAATGTTCAAGACTTGTAAAACATGTGTCACAAGGTATCTGAAAAGTATTGGATACGGGACCGAAGTTCTGAAAAACATCAGATAAGTGTTCAAATTTTATTTTTTATTTTTTAAAAAATAATTACTTCCAAATTAGGGATAGAAAGTATCAGACACCATCCACTAGTATCCGATAAGTGTCGGTATAAAAACACGATACAGATATGTACTCATAAATGTATTTGTGCTTCATAGGTCAATAAGTCCAACAAGAGAATTGTCAACAGGGAAAATTGTCCAACATATCAGAGGAATAAACAAACCCACTAAAACTCTACTTTGTATTAAAATTTTATTCCACATTCCAATGAGTGAATGGAAATATATTATTAGTAGATAAGAAGATAAAAAATAAAAAATGAAAGCTATAATTAATGACAAATTATGCTAGGAAGAACTAAAATATCAATGCAACAAACCACAAAATAGGGGAAACAGGCACATCCCAGAAGATCAAATTCAAAGCTTCCCATGATTCTTTGTTTGTACAATCAGCTTTTTATTTCTTCTACTCGTAAAGTTATTAAGAGAAATCTAGCTATCCATAAGATGTTACTATACTATCCAGATGTCATTTGGATGGCTGTAATACAGAAGACAAACTCTTCTCCTTCCTACAAACACACACACAACTATCTACATGTATATATATAGAAACACAGGGAAAAAAAAAATTCCCAACTAGCAGCTTGTTAGGACAGACCTAACACCTTGCCATTACTTTGCATAAAGTTGTTGCTGTGAATCAAACAGGAAAACAAAAACAAAATAAACACCAACACTACCTGCCAAGTGCCAACTAGAAGTAGATTCAATAACTTAGCAACATTTTCAAATAGAGCAAGTCCACAAAAAGGGCACATGCGCTCTAAGCCCTCACTCTCATAGCCATTGGATCAAGAGGCTGAGTAAGCGAGAGCACCCTCGTAGTAGCTTTTTCCTTTCATATATTTCAGTTTGCACAACCTTTCTACGATAACAATAAATAAGATATACAAGTTAGGGGCCTACCTCGTAATGTATTTGAGATGTAAGAGGCTCTTCTTTGAGGTCAAGGTTTGGGATCAAATATTTAATAGCATCTGCCCGCTGAAGATTCTCTAAGCAGTGTGGGTCGGTTGACAGATGATTAATACACTTCAACAGCTACACAATAAAAAAACGAGTTGCATGAAAACATAATGCAATCAGAATCTAAAGGGGCTGAACTTAATGTTGTGAGTGAAGCTTCTTACCTTCAAAAGAATGGGGGGCTCTACCCTATTAAACATCTGAAAAAGACGACTAAGCAAGCTTTGGCTACACATATAGGATTTCACTGTTGTGTCTGCTCTAGCAAACTCAAGTAGAAGGTCTGCCACCTTTTCTAGATATTCCCTGGCAACATCAGCATTCAAAGTTGATACCGTATGGGAAAGTAAACCAGATGATGTTGCACTCCCAGGTCTAGCATTTAGAACTCCAGAACCAGAAAGTACACCAGATGCAGTCTGAGATGCCATTCCAGAAGTAGAAGAAGCTCCCTCATTAGATGTTGGAGTTACTTTCTTATTTACCGTCTTTTGTGAAATTCTAGACATAGAGTCGACGTTGGCATTTTCTCTTCCACGTTCAGAGACCTCTGTCCAACCATGAAAAAACAAAAAGTGTGTACCCTTTATCAGAGATATATTCTGTAGGTACCCCCAAAACCAAAGCCTATATAAGAAGTGCATCAAAAATTAATATAAATAAGACAATGTAGCTAAAAAATAAGTAAATGAAGCAAAGCTGGCCTATACAGAAAGCGCTCTCTGAAGTTAGGGAGTGTCAAATAAAAGTCAATATAAGGATGTTAGGTTACAGAACTCGGTGGAGCAGGGGGTTCAACATTTGGAGGAGAGCAAAATATTATGTGGTACAACTACTTACCCGCAAATTCAGCCATCAAAAAATCTAGTCCATTTGTTTTCTTTTCATTGGATGCATGTAAAAGAGGCAGTATGCTTTCATGTCTTTCCAACCCAGAGAGTTGACGTACATACTCAAGCTGACCAGAGAAATGTCGGGAAGGGGGTTCCTTATCCAACAAGCTAAGAAGAGGTCGAACATTCTCTTGTTGACTAGCTGTTGTGGTAGAAAATCCATTTGATGCACCTTCCATCAATTTTGTAGGCCTGTCTGTGGATGTTCTACTGGTGGAACTAGTGACTCGCTGCTGTCTAAAGTCAACTTCTGCTCGAGAAGGATCATTCTTCCATCGGTCCAAATTTTCTCTCTCTTTAAAAGTAGTTGCTGAAGATTCCTTCATTGCTACATTTGCAACTTTATCCAAAGATGTTGGATCTGGCAGCTTTGAAGCAACTGAAGCTTCCATTGTGGCATTGCTTGACTGAGGTCTGTCAGTATCCATGGAGAAGTACCTGGAATCTGGAGAGTGTGCGGCCGAAGCACGCGAAGGTTCTTGTATTCCAGTTGACAAGGGGCGATCTCCATGCTTAAGCTTAATGTGATCAGCCTGATCAGTTGCATTAAGTGGTGCCTCACTCTGAACAAAAGCAGGACAGCTAGGATCCAGTGGACCAGAACGTGGTCGTGGAGCCAAAACATCTGCCGGGAATCCACCACCAACTGATATGGAAGCTAGTCGAGTTGCCTCATTCAAGCTATGAAGAGTATTGCTAAGCCTAAATAATATTCCATTCTTTGCAGCTATACGACAAAAATCATTTCTGGGAGTTGAGCTTTGAAGCTTAAAGATCTGCCACATGCCATCAATAGCTAAATGAACCATTTCCCTGGACGCAAAGGAACCTAATCAATACATTGAGGGAAAAGTAGATAACATACTAACATATTATTGCATTTCAAGTATTAATATGTGGTTAATATGAAAACATATGAACAAGGAAGAAAAAGGAAGAAAAATTTGTTGTCAACATGCTGATTTTGCAAATCAGATCACACACGACGATAGGAATTCAAATTTGCATCCAAGTTTTCCAACTAGAAACTTTATCCACATCTAATATATACACTTCACCTGGTAGTAGTTTAAATAAATTCATAGAAATGTTTGTTATTTATAGATTTACAAACAAATCCCTAATTATGCCTATGGATTCACCATTTCACAAACTATGAAATTAACACTATGGTGCTGTTTGATAAAACTGAAAATTAAGCACTGAAAATTTCAAGTACTGAATTTTAAGTGTTGAAATATTAAGTGCTGAATGCATTAATTTGAAAATCTGTTTGATAATGTTTTGATTTTAAACACTGAATTCATTAAGATTGTTTGTTAAATATAAAAGCTGAAGTTTGAAAGTTGTACATATTACATTTTTGCCCTCATATCTGGTACTTATAACAGTTTTTATATTTATAATATAAAAATATTAATAAAATAACCACATTCACTCAATAAAATATATCAATTTAACAGTGAATGTTAATGTCAAATCTAATCATAAAAAAATGTCAATTTAAACATAAATAATTAAAATTATTCAAGCGGCACTCATTAATATAATTATAAACGTGAGTGTCTCAAAACTATTAAATTAAGCTATACGTATAAAATTTTAAACTTGAGAACTAAACAAATCATTTTCAAAGGTAACGACGATAAATAAAATTTAAAATATATGGGCTCCGGATTACATAATATTTATACAATCCATTGTGTATCAAAAAGGTGTTACAAAGATTAAAAATTGCAAGTAAAAAAGAATTTTGTTATAGAAATAATTGTGTTCTATAGTGAATCAATTTGAATAGGTAACCAAAAGGCTGTGTTTAAAAGATAGTATGTAGAATTGTATCTATATATATTATTTTTTAGGAATTTGTTCTATCATGTAAAAGTAACAACCAACCAAATATATATATATATATATATATGAGTTTTCCAAAAGAGATAACTTACCTATAATGCTCTATTTCCAGAAGCAAAGAGGTAAAAAAAAAAAAAAAAAAAAAAAAAAAAAGCCCTAAAAAAAATTATTTAAGGATAGGGTAGTCATTAAAAAAATATTTTAAAAACCGAACCACTTACCGTCTTCTACGATAAGCGATAAGCAACATTCCCCTCACTTAAAAAATTGACCTATTTATCAAAAAAAAAAAAAAAAAAAAAAAATTGGCCTATTTCAAGTGGTACTTACCATCTTAAGCGGTATGCTAAAATTATTTTATCAAACGCACTTATTTTTAAAAATCACTTACCGTGTTCTGCATTCAGCGCTGAATTAGGAAATCAAACAAACCCTACATGTCACATTGTTGTAGCACCACTAATACCTTCATGTGCCATTTTGATGCAGATAATATATGGCATGCCTTGCTATTTAATGAAGAAGTTAATGTTCACCATTTTTTCTATATAAGTATTATTTAAGGTCCGGACTTACTAAATGATAACTTCGGAAAGTAGTAAGAGTGTAATTAAAGTCATTCAAGGGAAAATCAGGGTCATTAGTAGCTATACTTTAAAAAAGGACAACCCTTTAGCCTTTCAGAGTTCAGACGGTAACAAATTCAGAATATTGTCAGTTTGTTATCTATTATTCAGGTTATCTACTTTCAGGTTTTTCTATAGGCTCCAACAGTGACCCGGGTGTGATGTTGTGGCTCGAATTGGTTCCAGCTAGTGTTGCAACCCGGTTTTGACCCCTTTTTCGTGGGTCCTATTTAGTACTCTCTTGTAGCTCGGTATATAAGCATTTAGTAGGGAAGTCAAAATCACCTGCCCCGCCCCTAATAGGACGGGGTTGGGATGGTGTAAAATAGTATAGGGGCCAGTTTGGCTAATTAAAATAGAGCCCGATAGGGTCGGGGACGGGACTAGGAGCAATCAACCCCGCCCCGCCCCTCCCCGATATATATATGCATACAGGACTACCCTTTAATATTCTTTTACTTTTCTTGAAACTTACTTTTTTATTTATATACATATATATCACAAAAATAGGGTTTTTAACCTCTCTCTTCACGGTCTCTTCCCCTTCCTCTCCCTCTCATACTTTCACTCTCTGTACTAAGGTTTCTCGTCTAATAGGGGCACTATCCCTCTCTTTGCCTCTACAAATCTATTCGTTAGATTGAAGAAATAAAAAAGGTCGCAGCACTGCACCACTTCTTCAGTGTGATTTCACCATCGCTGCTAGCAATTTTCTCTCCACCCTTTCTGTGCATTTTTTTTGTTCAGAATTCTTTATTCTTGAATGTATTTATTTCATCAATTCTTGAAATGACTGGTCAAATTGATTACCTCTTTCAAATCGACGAAAACATATTGAATTGTAGTATATAGTTTTTACCCAAAATCATAAACTTCTCTGTAAATTGATTTACCAAAATTTTCAGCGACTGTCGGAATGATTGCGGGGCAGGGACAGGTAAGCCAAAAGCTATGCGGGTTCGGGGATGGGAGAGACCACCATGCGGGGCGGGGTAGCAATTTCGTTAGGTGGGGTGGGTCAGGATACGGATGCCTTGTCCCATACCCGTCCCGTTGACATCCCTAGCGTTTAGGGTAGGGAGTAGAGAGAACACTGAAAATCAAAGAAAAAGAGAGAGAGTGAGAGATAGGGTATGAGGGCTGAAACTTGTAATCTTGATTTTCGCACAGTGAAAACTTTTGTTGGATCTTCACAGTGGACGTAGACACAACTTGTGTCGAACCACCCTAAATCATTGTGTTCCTTGTGTGGCATGTTTACTTTTCTGTCTTGATTCATGATTTGTTCTTGGTTCGCTGCGTTTGTTGTAACATGGGGTAATACTTGTCTTTCTTATAGTACCAAGTGGACTATTTTCACTCTCCATTACTTCACATTTTCACTTCTTCAATTCAACAGTTGAAGATTTATATATATATATATACATATATAACAACATAGGTTCGTGTATCATCTTCTCTCCATCCTATTCAATTAATTATTTCCAAATGATTTCTCAGTTGTTGAGCAGTAAAAAATGTGATAAGCATATTTGATTCCATCATGTTCAATCATTAATATGTCACACCTAGATTTTTATTTAATGCTTCCAAGACTCCAAAATTTCAGACTATATTGATCACATTCACAACATGCTTCTGTTTCCAAGAAGACCTAAATAACACAATGAAGCCAGATCAGATACCCAAAATGTCAAAACTGCATTCGTTACTCATACGAGTACAAACCTATACATATACATACATACATACATACATATATATATATATATTGGTAGTACAAACCTAAATTTTGCATAATCAGCCTCCAGAAATCCCACCAAAATCGGTATTCCACGGCAAGCAATAAACATTTGCAATGTCAAGGAACTGCCAAAAAGAACCTCTGAAGTCAATCCACAATCCATTAATTCTGATGCAGTGTGACAAAACCAACACAAATAGGAAAGGGATAGGAACTGTAGAACCTGGACTGACAAAGCTGCTGCAAGAAATAAGCTGCTTCCATACGGACTTCCCGGGGACGATCCGGAACAGCCAAGCTCATCACAACGGGAATCTGTGACGTAAGTTGGAAAAAACTATTACTGCAACAATACTCATAGTCCTGGTGCCTTTAAAGAAGAGGGAGAAAAAAAGGCTATTATAACCAGTGCTAATCCAGCCGACACTGGATGCTAGGAGGGGAAGGTAGATAGGATACAAACCTACCCTATGGCACTATTTTGCACATTCTTGAAGCAAACATATGAAGATAAAAAAATATTTACTAGGACATCAACATATCATATCTTCTAGACCAAAACCATAACTGCACAGGAAGGATCCCTACCCACCATCCAATATTAAAATGGGTCTAACTTAGAAAGTTGCACCGTAAACTTAATATGCAAACATTCTACTTCCAGAACTAGTGCATTTTTTGGAAGGTTCAACTGGAATAGTAAAACTTTATATAACGTGGGAATTAATGCGACAACTTTTAAGCTAAATAACTTAGCCAATTTGAAGTTTCAGCTAAGAATGTCTGATGCAGTTATTAACTACTTATCTTCATAACTGTCCAACCTAGAACTTAAAAACCTGAATGTAAATGGTACTTACGAAGCCAACAAGGCAAGCGTTTTCCTGAAAATTGCTATTATCTTTAATGATCTGGTTCAGAACTTGCAGCACCGAACATATTACCTGCAATTTTACAGAACTTTTATCTTCAAAGTCAAAACGCGTTGAGTTGACAATAGTAATAGAAGAACAAGAAAATTGAATAAATCCTTGTAGTAGCTGACATACACGAGTTCGAGGAACCTCAAGTAGTTCCATTAGAGGGAGCAAACCATGCTGAGTGACAAAAACAATTTTCTGCTCAGGACGCTGGTGAAAGAAATTTACTAATTTCTGACAGGTAGATATGATCACATCTTCTGGTTCATCCGGTCTCAATAACGCAGCTAATTTACTAAACTCAACAGCCTATAATGCAAACACATAATGAATTTCCTGATCTCCACAATAAAGAACAAGAAGTAAATGAAATTGCTTTTAAATATAGTATTGCAACAACATTGATTTTTCCTAGAACAGATCCAACAGACAAAACAGGGATGTGCTGGATACATAATTTAAATGTTATATGAATGTATAATACGTGGCAAAATACCAATAAAAGTTCCACTCCTATTAAAGGAATCTGATTAAATTATAATAACAAAGTCAATCGGAGCCTCAGCAAATTTCACCACCAAGAGATGTACAGCAACCTATTAGGCAATGGAACTAAAGACAACATTACAATATAAGATCAAAAAGTAATCATAATTAAATTTTTTTTTTTTTAAAAAAAAAAACACAATAAAAAAAGGAAGGAGGAGAAAGAAAAGGAAGAAAGTGAATAGTTGGAACAGACAAGGAGTCAGAACCGGAGGAACTCGCAGTAAACCATGAAAAAGAGACACTGTATCCTGAGGGACCAGCTTGTACTTTGAGTCAGAACCGGAGGCACTTGCAATAAAAAATGAAAAGAGACACTATATCCAGAGGGACCGGCTTGTACTTTGAGTCTAAACTCCAACCATGGGTTCCCAAGCATCCTAAAAAACTAATGTCATGTATCTTTGGTGTAAGGCCACACACAAATTACTATAACCAAACACCAACATATGATTTGGGCCAAGAAACATTATGATGAATTTGAAATTCTTTCAGCTTATGTTATGCAATAAGATAGCATGGTTCAAATTCCAATTCCATATAATGTTTCTAATAATTTATATACTTGGGATTTAGATTCAGTAGGGGGAACATTTAGTACTGGATCCTATTATATTATTTGCAAACCACAAGAACAAAAAGGTGTGGCCCCCAGGGGCGAAGCCAGGATTTCATTTCAAGGGGGACGCAGTGTAGTTGATAAAAAATAAATAGAAAAATATTAAAAAGAAAAAAAAAAAGTAAACGGACTTGCGATGGTGTAGTTACTACTGACTAGTGGAATATCTAATAAAAGGATGGTGACCAACGGGTCAATGGCCTAGCGGTATCAAACTCCTACTTCCCAAAAGGGAGGTCATGGTGTAGTGACTAGTGACTAGTGACTAGTGGAATATCTAATAAAAGGATGGTGACCAATGGGTCAATGGCCTAGCAGTATCAAACTCCTACTTCCCAAAAGGGAGGTCATGGGTTCAAACCTCAACGGAGGCATGTGTGTGTGAGTACCAAACTAAGAAAAAAAAAAGGATGGTGCGGCGGTTGTGTTGGTTAAATATTGAGCACGTTGATTTTTTAGTATACAATACTGACTCACAATCAATATCGGGCACTTTGGTTTGATTATGGCCACAGAAATCAACCTAGGTAGTAGTAGTACTATACAATTTGACTCTTTTACGAAAATCACAGCAAATTAGTAAAAATCATTTCGACTTACCTGAAAATGGAGTTCGTTGAAATAAATATATAAAGGATTAATCTTAGAAGAGTATCTTTAAGCATATAAGGTCAAAATAACCTGTTCAAAAAAATAGGGTTTGATTAAAAAAATAATACAATTTTTCTGGGGAAAAAATTGAAGAGGAAGAAGAAGAGTAAGAAGGAAAAGAATGAAAGAATTAGAGAGATTTTTAGAATATATACATGTATATATAATTTAGTGAGCCAGCATTGTGGGGGAGGGGGGATTCTGCTGACTCAAAATAATTGCATATTCAAAATATTATCTATATGGATTAAGTTCATAGGCCCTCTTTGACCTTTGGAGGCTGGTGCAAGAGTCTAGTAAAATCTGGGTGCCGTATCTTCATGATAAAGTAGTGAAAGTATAGAACTCACTTGTCAATGAATGCAAAGATACTAATGCATGCTGTTTGAACATATAGCGGGGACATCGTTGGCTGTACCGATATGATATTGACAATCATATAACAAAGAAAAAATGGAAACAAAAGAAGAAACAAATATAAGGAAATCAACGCTGGAACTCATTTAAATAGAAAATGGATAAAAAATAATTCAACACAACCTGCGGGTGAGTCTTTCTTCCATCTGAAAGCATTGGGATATATCAGGATGTTCAAAACCAAAACAACCAGGACTGATTGTGTCAAGAAAGAAATAAGGTACCAAATCTAATTGCAGTATATCCCTAATGATATCAGGCGAGGGAAGCTATTTAACTATAGTTATTATGCTCCCTTATGCTAAAAGGATGATTCTTGAAGGGACTTCAGCGCTAACATTCCCTTATGGTAGAAATTGAGGCAGCAAGCCACTGAAAGATTTAGATACATAACCAGACTCAAAAAGATCCCACTAGCTATCACTGTTTAAAATATCGACCTTTTCTCTATCTTTAGAAAATAAGATAGAATGTCAAATTGAAAGAAAACCCAGCAATAAGCAGATTTTTTATCATAACTAAGTGGATGGATATACAAGATGCTAGCTGAAATACCGTTCCTGACATCTTCACCTCAAAATGTAATCAAAAACTACTTTAAGATCAAGAAATTACTCAAACTGTGTCCAAAGGAAAAAGAATAAAGATACCTGTAGAGGAAAAATATTTTCTGCAGGCAATTTATCATCGAAATCCTGAGAAGCAAACATTCAAAGGGCACAAAACTGTCAGGGTTAGGAAATGAAGACCTCAACCATGTCAACCAATATATTAAACATACCAAACCGTCAATGTCGATTACATCCTCCTTTAAAACGCCCATCATTAAACTTAATAGGTTGCCGCCATTTGTCTGCCCTGTTTCGTTCTCCATTTGTTTTATAGCAATTGTAGCCCTTAACTTTGTTGCCAGGTCATTGTTTCCAGGGTCCACTACAAAAGCATTGCTTTGATTCACATGTGATGAGGATGCAGATGTTGAGGCTTCTGCTTTTTGATTGTCCAGGTTTTTCTCAAGTGAGTGAAATAAGTCATCCAATGAAGCATCTCCAGGAGTATCACTAAATCTACTCAGCTCATTTTCTCCAAGAGCTACTGATGCCTTGGCAGCCTTCAGAAGGGACCGTTCACATAAATTCATGAGAACTATGACAACATAATAAAATAAAACTCTCTAGATTGTATAGAACCTAAGATGCAGTAACTAAAGCACATACAAGAACAGCATTATGCAACATAAAGGAAAAGAGTTTTAGCTACTCATACAGAGAGAATAAATAATTTTGGAGATACTATAAGCATCACTTATTATATTCAGAAACTTCCTTTTCTCTATTAAGAAACTTAATATAGATGTAGATGCCACACAGGCAAACATAAGTGAACTACTAAGAAAAAAACAAATTTAGTATCATCGAAAATTTGTGATGCACATAGTTTCTAGAATTTGATATAGATCTCCATTCTTCTCATGTGATAGAATAAATCAAGGTAATGATCTGAATATAAGATTTCTAACTGTCAACCAACTGGATATTATCTGAAAACAAGGAATGGCCGGACAACCAATGAGAGTAAACATGGTTGGAGAATAAGTATGGTGATCGACAACAACAGTGGTCAAGGCTTAGAGCTTTTATGTTAATTGTTGCATTCGTTTTGTAAACATATGTAGTCTTTAAATATAATTTAGAAGCCTATTGAGTGTAGGTCCAAAAGAGATTTATTTCTTTTAATTTTTTTAACGACTAAAAAGAAATTTATTTGTAAACTGAATTTCACAAAATCCAAGTGTCAATCAATTGACACATGACCAATGCCTTCGATGGATCTTTCAATCAATCAAAGTGCTATCTCATTCTATCATTATGGATTTAATTTAGGAAAATTTCAATAGCGTATTTATGCACTTCAAAAAGGACATTTACAAAACCCTAGTGGAATGAATGCCTGAAAAACATGAATCCTAATGGCAAGTAAAGTCTGCATATATGAATGTTAAATTTACCTTTTTGGCCATGATTGTAACTTGGACTTCCAACTATGCCCTTATCCAACTAACTCTTAATAAACTCTTAAAATACAATACAAAAGTTGAGAAAAAAAATTATAGACTCAAAATTTTGTAACGAATTAGTGAACATAAAGTCCTATTGACCAACACATACATTTTTCTAATATACCCAAAAAATAACATTGTGATTTAGGTTGTTACTACCAAAGATACCAGATAACTTTCTTCATTGCCAAATATTTAATAACTAAAATTGATGACAGAAATATAGTGCCAAAAAAAGAAAAACTGTCATTCTGGTAAAAACAATGGTTAAAAAACGAACCTTTTGAGAATTTCCAAAATCAAATGAACTATGCTCAACATGGGCAGAACTTCCCTTCCCTTCATGTTTTCTAGCTACGGTGTTTCCCTTTCTTGACTCATGAGGAGCCAACACACCATTAGTCAACACTTCATCCTTGCCACGCATGTGTAGTGACTCATGCAGCTCCGCCGGAAGAGAGGGAACCACTTCACCATTAGCAGACGGTGTAACAGAACTAACTTGTAGTGGTGACTTTTCGTGGATAGCCAAGGTGGGAACTTGATCAGACAAAACACCATCAGAATTATCTGATCTACCCTCAACGGGATTACAACTTGAATCATTATCCACATCAGACTTGCTAATATCAGCAGCCTTGGGTAACAACTCTTTACTAGAGCCCTGAAATACAAAAGTTAGTCACCAAAAATAAGGCATAAAGCACTGAACAGTATGAGCTGCTTACCAAAGGCTGTGTAGCCTAGCGGTACTTCCTCGCCTTCCAAATTAGAAGGTCGAGGGTTCAAGTCCACGTCCACATAGGGGCATGTGGGTGTGCAAGTGTGTTTCTTGCCATGAAAAAAAAAAGTATGAGCCGCTTAACATACTATCAATTGTATAACGGTGATATTAGCAAATGACCAGGACATGGAGCATAGGTGAGTCCAGTTTACAAGACCCTAATTCCAAAGCCTGAGGCACTTACTTTTACTTTCTCAACAGAAGGGCCCTCACTGGTGCTTTGATCATCTCCATTAGAAGTATCTGTATCCACAGAACCATCTTTCTCCATGTTTCTGCAGGAATTAGGGCTCTTTAGATGACACATAATATTTCCTAGAGTGAAAATTGTAAATTGCTAATACTCATCAATAGCACATTGATACTCGATCTACTCATAAAATCTGGGTCTCTCTCCCACCACCACCAAACCCCTTCCAAACCCAAATCCGCCGCCACCAACGTCACTTCCAACCAACACAAGAAGGCACAATTGCAAACAATATAAGAAAAGGTAAAATGTGGAGATAAGGTCTTAACTAATCAATTAAATGATTCATTTTAAATCAAATTATAAATGAATGGTTACAAATGTATCATACATGAGTATCTTCCAACTCTGAGTAACTTAGCTGATTCTAAGGCTTCTTTCAAAGAGCGTAGGGCTTTAAAGGACTCTTCAGAGACTCGCTCTTTGCCTTTGGATATCTTTAAACATTGGAATTTCTGTTAAATTTAGAGATTTACTGTTTGTAAGATAGGGACACAACAACACTGGACATTCTGCTAAATTTGGATAAGTTTGAAAGGTGGCTATGGCGTCAATAATTGGGTAGTGCTGGTTGTGTTGCCCAAAACTGATGGAGAGGTTGGCTTGTTTGTCCGTCTCTACAAGGGAGGCCAACGGCGGATTGTGGTAGCAAGTAGACTACAGTTGTACAAAATATGGTGGTGAGTGGACCTTGAGACGGCATCTAGTGGTGAAGGGGTGAAAGGGGCTACCACAAAGATGGAAGGACGTAAAGAGGGCAAAAAGAGAGATGGAGGGTATATTATTGATGGTAATCAAATCTCTCTCTCTCTCTCTCTCTCTCTCTCTCTCTCTCTCTATATATATATATATATATATATATATATATTTGTGTGTGTTTTTTTTAGATGCGTCTCTCTGAATTCTTGGACCTTTGTTTTGTTTCCTTTAACTTACTCCACTTTGATTCATGGGTGATCTGGTTACTTCGTAATTTTGATATGGGTTTATTTTCTATGTATTTTGCGCTTTAATTGCATTCAAATTCTTTGGTTACTTCATCATTTTGATATGGGTTTCTTTTCTGTGTTTTCTCTTTAATTGCATTCAAATTCTGATGTTTTTCTGTACTTTTTTTTTTTTTTTTTTTTTTTCTGTTTACGAAATTGTGTTTTGTTAATTTCTTCTGTTTTCTGAGAAAATCTCTCTTTCTCTCTCGTTAATGGTGACTTGGTATCTTTGTTATTTAATAAATTACTTTTGTTCAGTCTATAAAAATTGGAATATGTATATCAAATATATATTTAATTTCTATTCATAGGTTTAATAGAATAAATTATATCAATAGAATTTGTACATTTTTGCACAATTTTCAAATTTTCATATTTTTAAAATTTTAAAGCATGAAAATTAAGTTTAGATTTAATAATTATATTTAAATAAAATAATTTCGAATGTATATTTAATAAAAATGTCTGGGTTTCAAATTGAAATAAATATAAATGCAAATGTCTCATAAAAGGTATTTTTGGCCTATCAAAGTGGGTTGAATTCATCTTTTAATATGATAGGGATAATTAAGTCAATTTGCTACAATGCAATTTCAACACACAGACAAAAAATCTTCTAACAGGCTTAACAAACCTAATGGATAGATGTAACTCGACCATGGCCAGCCGGCCTGTTCTGATAAACAAAAGGGCTTTGGTCCATGGAGATGAATACCCATAGATCAGGGCTGGGTAATCTGTATTTTTGACATCTCAGCAAAGGCTGAACATAATTGTAGAGGGAGTTTACATGTTGGTGCAAGTAGCAAATCTCTGGGGAGGTCAGGATACTTTACCCAAAAACATAGCTTAAAAGACACGCTCGTAATATCTACCTCAATGTTCCACTATGACGGAGAGAGGATTGCAGAGCACGCCTTGAGTTCTGCATCCAAGGGTGCGAAAGCAAAGTCTTTGCATCAGGCCTCTGCCTAGCATCCTGAAATATGTCAACACCAGGAATCAATTGAGAAGCTAGCAACAAGGAACAAAATGAATGGAGAGGCAAATCAATTGAAACCTTGTTCCCCAATACCACCAGGTCATTGGCCTAGGTAGCATAAAGGGGAGGTGAGAGTTCAACCCCATAGTGGGCATTCATGGGAATGTTTTGAGTGTGTGTTCGTCCTTAACTAACAAAAAAAAAAAATTATTGTTCCCCCATTATTTTAAAGCCACCAATCAAATTTGTATACTTCATACAACCTTCTGATTACAATTCAATAGATGTTATCTTTCCTTCCATTAGCTGAGGCCCATCAAGAATACATATAACAATATTCATAATTGTGTCATACATTAGAGATGATATATTATGGCATTTTTCTGAATATATCCTCCTAATATGGAAACAACCGAAGACACAAAATATGATCCAAAAAAGAAAGAAAGAAAAAGATTAAGATATTAATACTCCTATTAGATTCCGGTATGCGTTTCCTCAAGAAAAGATGGCGCCGTATCTTGAATGGAGCAACTACGGTTTGATTAACAAGAAATGATTACCCTATTAAAAAAATGAAAAAAACATAGAAAAAAGGAAAACAATATACTCCCATGAAAGAAAACAAAATTGAGGACCAAGGAAGACATCGATCCAATAAAAGAATCTCCAAGTGTTAGCTTATCCTAGCAAGACAATTCAAGTGAATGAAGAACCTATGGTCAGTGTTAAGTCAATAGTTTTCATATAAGAAGCATAATAGATATTGGACACAAAGGAAGTAGGAATCTACTTATCAAAAAATAAAACAAAAGAAGTAGGAATCTAAGTCTGATTTTTTATTTCAGCCAACAAATCAATAAGACTTACCAATATTCATATAGTAACACCACATACAACAGCCCCTACCCCCGGTTACGGGGGAAGGGGGCGATTAATAAGAATAAATCTCCATATTCTAAAGCGCAAATAATAAATCTATCAACCGCAAGAAATGTTCTAATAAAGAGAAAAATCAAAAGCCATAAGAGAGAATGTTTAAAACTAGAGAGAGATAGAGAGAGAGAGAGATACCTTTGTGTTATCAGGACCCTGGTATGGGTGTGTGTCTAGGGGTCTGATTCATCTATTTACCAATTTATAGGACACATGGACACAAAATAAAAGTGTCCAAAAATCGGACATGGGAACTTGGACATAATTCCCAACTCGTATAATAATGCAAGTAAAATTACTAAGTAATCCAATACTATCATCATACTTAAATTTATAGTAATTCATGAGAACTTGTATTATAAATCATGAATATGAGGTTCTAAATGAATTAATTGAATTTCAATTTTGTTAGAAAAAGTGTAATAATTATGTTTACTCAATGTTATTATAGGCTCAAGGCACACCAAGGCGCTAGAGGTCCTTTGGAGCCTAGGCGCGAGGCGCACGCCTAAGTGAAATGAGACGCACAATTGAAATTTTAAACTACTATAAAAGCATTCACATCTCACAAGTCATATCAATATTCTAGAAATTATGTTCAAATATAAAAAAGTAAATCCATCAACTATATAATCATTCAAGAACCATAAAACAGAGCACAAATTTGTTTTCTTGAAAGGAAAAACAGAGCACAATAAGAAATAAATCTATTAAAAGAATTGCTAACAAGAAAAGAAAAAAAAAAAAATAGAGCCAAAAAAAAAAAGAGATGCAGAGACAAGAAGTAGATGAGAAGAGAGAGAAAGTGTTAAAAGAACAAAAAGGAGAAAAAAATAGACAGAGAGAGAAGAGAACTAGACAGAGATAGAGAAGTAAACAAAGATGAGAAGAGAGGAGAGAAAGGTAGAGGAGAAGAGAGAGAAGAAGAAGAAGAAGAAGAAGAAAGAACTGACATGGCTTTGTTGTTCGTTGTTCGTCTCTACCACTAGGGATTAGTCGTTGGTCTCAAAATCTCACTCTTTCTATGTTCAGTCTTGGACTTTCTTATTTGTTTATTCTTTTGAACAAAAGTTCCTTTTCTCATTTGCTTAGGCTTTCTTATTTGTTTATTAAGTTGCCAAAAGTACCTTTTTTGGCTTAAGAGAAAGAATAATCATTTAAAAAACAATGAGGCGCGCCTGACAAATAGGATGAGACGTGCCTAGTAAACATCAGTGAGCCTAGGATGACAACAGGCGCTCGACCTATGCCGCTAGCCTAGGCGCGTCTTTATCAACACTGTGTTTACTGATTTGTATATCTTTTTTTTCAAGGTTGGTGTATCAATTTGCTTTTTGACATGAAATGACCAATTTGCATGAAATTATCTCCTACATTCGTCTGAGTATATTCTTTTGCATTACACTGATACATGAAATATTTGACTTCCATACTTTAACTCAAAAACGGAAGGAAGGGAAGGGGGTGTAGTTCTATTAATTAGTTGAATACTAGAAGTCGCTCTCTAATGGAACCACCCCCTCAACACACACACAAAAAAAATAATAAATAAATAAAAGAGTGTATTATATATGTTTACATTTATTTGGAGTAGTCAAATAAACTAAAGAGATAGAATCAAGTAAGAAGTTGAAGGGATGAATAATAAATGGATCATCTTCCATGCACAGCAGAAGTATTCAATTACAAGGATCAAGGTAATGGCTCCAGTATAAATAATTAATTGTAGAAGTTCAAAAGCTAAAATGGACCAATGTAAGTGTTAGACAACTCAATAATATCAACCTGGCAGTATCACAGCCATCAAAAATTTGACCAAGCCAGGTGGTGTAAATCAGCAGAGCAAGTGAAAAGCCATTCTTTAGTCAGATTAAAAACTCTTGCAAGCCAACACGTGATCCTAACATCTTCAACCTCTAAATATCGCCATTTTCAAACCAGCTGCGTTTTTGTTTTTATGAAGACAAGAATGGCATTAGAACACAAACAGAACAGAACCTCTGCAAAAATTTCTTCACTCATAGCCGAGTCCAATAGATCGTAGAGTGTCCGACACATATCTCATGTTGGTGTCGTGGCATGTCGACACGGATACATTGGGCATCAATGGCGAGTAAAGAGGAGTTTTAGAGAAAGAGAGAAAAGCCTCTTAAGCCTCTCACTATGGAAACTTCACGACCAGGCTGGTTGCAATCTGTGGCAATTAGACTACATAAAGTACTGAACAAATATAAGACGTCTACTCCTCTACTTCTTACTTTTTTTTTTTAATATGTTCAAAATTACTGCTTTAATTCTCTACTCCCATAGTTCTCTTTTTATACTAGCTGAGGCTTTCTTTTGAGCTCCATATGAGTACTTTCCACCTCAACAGATGTCCTATTTCTTTATATCAGTTTTCTTCTCTTTCCATCAACAAATTTGTGTTTCATATTTCAAAAAACAAAACAAAAAACAAAACAAAGAAAACGGAAAATAAGAAAAAGAGAACGATTTCTATGAGTACTGTATACGAATTGACTCGAGTAACAACGACAAGTTTAAGAATATAAAACAGTTGGTACTTCTTCCACTTCACCTTCTTAAAGCATTGACGCAGAAAATCAGTAATGGCAGGAGAAAGGCCATCTGGTATTGGAGGATGCTCATCCTGAAAGAATGAAAAGGAAATTCAAGAAACTGTTGCTATCCTCAGAGGGTAATAAATCAACCACAATTAAGAACCTCATAGAACTTTCTCCAAAAAAAATATAATAAATACACTAAGAACTTCAGGATGATATCCATCCACTTGAAGCAATTCAAGCAACAGTAACAACAGCCCATAAACCTTCACATTATTTATAGGTATCATCTCGTCATAATAAGAGATAATCAAATTTAGCCAGAGATAGACCACCAAAAAAACCTGCACAATCCGAAAGAGAGCTGGCATAGGCTGGAGATCATAGTACGGAGGTACACATGTAAGAAGCTCAATCACAGTGCAGCCAACACTCCATATGTCAGATGCAGCACAAACCCCTGACATTTCGATCACCTGAAACATCAATCAGTTTTAATAATAAGACCACCAAACCTTCGTACCTGCATTACAAATATGAGGCACTTGTTTCCTGGCCACATTATTGAACAGACTAGCAAGCTTAGAATGTAAATTCTACCCATGTAATATTCATTGCATACAGAAAGTGAAAGTCTTTCGATCACTCAAATGGACAACATGATCTGATCGTGCTCGCAATACACTTTTATGGTGTTTCTTATGTCTGTCGCAGAAAGTAAAGTGTACGTGACAAAAGCAAATAAGAACAAGTATAAGCAAATATCATATAAGGCCTAGCACAGAATTGAATATATTACGCAAACAAATACAATGTATAGAAAAAGAGATCAACATCAAACAGATGAATACTTGGCACATGAAAAATGAATAGTCTAAATGGAAGCAGATAAAAGAACTTCAATAAAAAATCCTATTACCTAGTCATATTGATAAAGAAGGTGCAAGGATATATACAAAAACTCTACACATGGACACCAAGAGCAAAACACGTTCTACCTAATGAATAACCAAATAAACACAAAATGTATATGTTACGAATGCCTATACTTCCCATTTTCAATTGGTCATTAAAAAAAAAAAAAAAAAAAAAAACCTAGGAAGATATATTGGATAGGAATGGCAATTCTGCTCAACCCGGCGAGAATGGGATGCTATAAATGGGGTACTTTAAGTAAAAGCCAAATCAGGCTCCGGACAGGTCGAGATACAAGTGCAACCCATTCTGCCCCTCCCCGTTAGATACCAGAATTTCAGAAAAGCCCTTGATTTATTTTAATAGTTCTAATATGCCCTTCATATATATAAAATCTTAATCCTAGGATTTCTCATTTGGTTCCCATTCCAGCAGTGCCTCTCTCCAGACGCCTCTCTCGGTAGAATACAAAGACTTCCTTCTCCTTCTTTCATGACACCGTTGCCGGCATCAGTCACACGGGCTACATTTCCGTACTCCAAATAGACCATCATCAGCACTGATCTAAAAGCCTCTCTCTAGAAGATTCCGGCAACTTTAGGAATAGTCAATATCTGTTTGATATTGTATCTTTGTTTGTCATTTTGGTTTTTGTTAGTTACTGTTGAAATGGAAAACCCCCATAATGGAGTTGATACAGGGCTACCATCGCAACTGATACACGGGGATGGGAAACAAAGTTCAAACCCGTCCCGCATTCAGGATGAGATAGGGTTCAATCCATCGACGAAGAGATTCAATTAATTCAAAAGAGAAAAAAGGAGCTCACTGAATCACGCTTACTAACTCATAGAACTCATAGGGGATTCAGTCCCTTCAAGAAAAAAACTCATGTTCCTCTCATCCCATATGCTCCACCAAAATAGAGGCAACTGATAGAAACCCCCATTTTCCCATCTTTCCCAATTTGTTCTCTTTCCAAATGATATATACTCCCGCCAAACAATGTCTAAAGACTAAATCTGCATTCCAAAACTCGAAAAACAACATATTTGAACCTAAATCTTGAACAAAAGCCTTCCATAATTCCATTACTTCAAATAATTGCTTGGATTTCATTTTTTTAATAATTATATATGTTTCACTTAGATCTAACATAAAAATAGTGTTTGATGTTAGATCTATAAGCCTTATTCAAGGATCTTGCTCTGAAGCTTCGGATCTCCTGTGTTTTTGTCCATTTCTTTCTATTTTCTTCAAAAGGGTAAGTAGTTTATACTTTAAAAAAATTCCAAGTATTTTAGATTTTTATTGTAATCTTCAGTGAATTTTTTAAGCTATTTATCTAAATTTTCTATTTCATTGATTTTTATAAGTCATTGTATACTTCTGATACTTATAAAAGAAGGAAAAAATAGTAATCACTACTAAGTAATAAGCCTAAAAACAACAAAGAAGATCGCTATCATCAACAATCAGAACTAAATCCAGCCCAGAAATTGATAAAAGGACAGTACGATCAGTACCTCAGGGGCCATCCAATATGGTGTTCCAACAACCGAATGTGTATTGACATCCGCCTCAGTTAGTTTTGTTGCAACACCAAAATCTGCAAGTTTCACGAGTCCCTGGAAGCATAAATTAATTCAAAAAAGTAATCCGTGAAAGGCCAGCTTAAAAGAAGATCCTATACCATTCTATATAATCTACAAAAGCAAACAACAAAAACTTGTTATGAAGTATGCATATAGACAATCACGTGCAATGAAAATGTCCTTGGCCCACTGAAGCTAAAATAGCGATCAAATGCTTTTAAGACAAACTATAAGTAAGACACCTCTTTGGTTGTCAATATATTTGCACCCTTAATATCCCGATGAATTACACCCTGCTCATGTAGGTAAACCAAGCCTTCCAATACCTGGTTGTAAGTAAAAATCCATCAAAACAAAATCTTGGAAGGAAGCAATAAACTTCAAGATCATTAGCAAACCTGAGCGATGTAAACAGCCACCAATGATTCTGGAAATGGACCAAATTTATTTGGCTTAATGATGTTTGCAAGTGAGCCATTCTCCACATACCTTTATAAATAAAATTTAAAGAATTGAAACAGAATTGACGCATCATTCATGAACAAATACATTAAATAAAGCAAAAAATTATGAATCCTTACTCAAGAATTATGTGAAGATGAGTCTTCGTCTTCAAGGACCCAAGATATTTCACAATATTTTTGTGGTTCAAATTCTGTACGAGAAAATTTATGCCTCGAATCATATATATATATTAACAGAAATCAATAATCTCATGCAACTCACTTTGTCTAGGAGGGTAAATAATCAGGTGAACCCAAATGCTATCCAACAATAGCACAACAGTATATTCGCAGCACAAGGAAACCGGACAGATAAATATGAGATTTCCCAAAATATTTTAATCAATCAGGATGCCAGTAACCTTTCATATATTGGACTTTATGTTGAATCAATGTACCTTCATTCTGGGTTGGGGGGTGGAGGGGTTATTATAACCACCGCCAAAAGAAATTATTATTAAGAATGTCAGCATATCTAAAAGGAGTACCCATTAGAGGGTCAACACCTAAGAACCTTGATTTGCAGTGCATAGGCATGGACTGTGGTAAATACATACTGGTCTGCCATAAAGATATACAGTATTCCGGAAATATGAGAGAACATTTTCAGAGCAAATAACTCAAATTAACTCATTTCAACATTACAAGAACAAACATAAGAGGAAAAGTTACCTTGAGCAAATCAATCTCTTGCTGATACATTAATGCGTCCCACCAATGACATAGTAATCAAACCCAAAAAAAAGGCAACGAGTGAGTCAATTTTAAAGGAATTTAACAGAAGAGGGGGAGGAAACAAAGAGAAGAAACAAGAAAACAATGCATTAATAAAAGGGAATATATGTGAAGTAGAAAATAAATATGCTGACAGCTGACTTCAATTCTAAAGATAATTTCGCTAATCTACCAATATCACAAATTCAACCCACAGGAAAAACAATCTTTTTTTTTTCTTTTTTTTTTTTTGGGATAAGCTGGACTGAGTGGTCTCAGAGGGACCACGTCCTTCGTGATGAAATCACATGCACGGAATATGTGTGGACATGTAACATCCATAAGAATTTAAGTCAACATAATTTGCAGAGAAGCCACTCTGCAGCTCCTAAAGCAGATTGATGCTTTTAGAGTGGATGTGGCTCCGATCCATGAACTGGTTTCCAGAAATCCACAGATTGAATTCCCCAAGTCATGGATTCACATTATTTCATCAAATCATCTATAATTTAAAAATCAGGTTGCAACCGTTGCATAATACCAATTCAACATCACTGAATTTTTTTTTTTCTGCAATAAGATTTGTAGAGCTTCTAGGCTTTTGCTCTTTGGAGGTGAAGAGAAGGATGCTGCCACAATATTTTGGGGAAGAATGTTCCAGGGCTATGTCGAGGAAATAGCTATTTCGGCAAAAGGTAAGACAAGTTGTCGTCCCTCTCCTCTTGTTTCTAGATCCTCTATGTTCAGATGGTGGCTTCCTTTCTTTTGGTAAAAGGAAACCAACTTCTCAGATTGATTTACTGGATACCAGTGTTGTTAAAGGCACGCCTAGGCTTGAGGCGCAGGTCTAGCGCCTGTTGTCATCCCAAGCTCACTTATGTGTACTAGTCGTGCGCCTTGGTAGCGCCTCGTCGTATTTGTCAGGCACGCCTAGGCGCACCTCATTGATTTTTTTTTTTTAATGATTATTCTATTTTTTAAGGCAAGAAGGGTACTTTTGGCAACTTAATAACCAAATAAGAAAGACTAAGCGTATGAGAGAAGGAACTTTTGTTCAAAAGAATAAACAAATAAGAAACCCAAGAGTCAAAGTGTCAATCGAATATAAAATGTGAGATTGTGAGACCAACGACGAAGCCCTTGTTGCAGAGACGAACGACGAAGTCATGTTAGTTCTTTTTTCTTCTTCTTCTCTCTCTTATCCTTTCTTCTCCTTTACTCCTCTTTTCTCATCTTTGTTTACTTCTCTCTTCGTCTAGTTCTCTTCTCTCTGTCCTTTTTTTTGTTTGGGGTCTGTTTTTTCTCCTTTTTCTTCTTTAACACCTTCTCTTCTCATCTACTTCTCTCTCTTCATCTACTTCTTTTGTCTCTGCAACTTTTTTTTTTGCCTTTCAAAAAAACAAATTATGTTTTGCCTTTCAAGAAAACAAACTTGTGCTCTGTTTTATGGTTCTTGAATGCTTATATGGTTTATGGATTTAATTTTTTATATTTGATATTAATTTTTAGAATATTGATACGACTTATGAGATATGAATGCTATTACGGTAGTTTAGAATTTCAATTGTCCGCCTCACTTCACTCGGGCGCGCCTCGCGCCTAGGCTCCAAAGGACCTCTAGCACCTTGGTGCACATTGAGCCTTTAATAACACTGGTAGATACACAAAAATACCCTCTTACTTTTTAAAATTTAACATATGGAACCAGATAATTAATTATTGTTGTTTTACAATTTAAAATTTTATTTATTTATTTCTGGTGGCAGCTTTAATATTCAATTTTGTATCAAACAAACCCATGACTTAAAAATATAAGATTAATACTCACACTCCAGCGTGAGACTTAGGTAAATATACTGACACTGGCCTTATTGTTCGTTTCATTTCATAAGAATGAGACTTCTTCACGAGAAGGAAAAAAAAAATACGGATGGAAATTTCAAAAAGGTTACATGATTTATACAGGAACAAAATTATTTTTAAAAGACAACAAAAAATTTCACCAGTGTCCTAAAGCATATCTGATTAGCTCCTCTCCTTTGACCAACTGACCATCATATCATTAGATGGTATCAACATTTTCTGCTTGAAATGTTACCGAACCATCCAGCCAATAAGATACTGGTGTTGCTGACAAAGAATCAGGAGAACATTTTCAGCACCTTAAATGGTTTATAGACACTGTGATATCAAGTTTCCACAAATGGGTCCTTTAAGGTATCTATTCTCATAGGATACTAGTAAAGCCTCTACATGCTTGGCTCAACAAAGTGTAGCTGGTACAAAGAGTAATCGACTTCTTGTGGCATAGTAGCTGAATCCCAGGAAAAGAATCTAGAAGCTATGAGAATTAGTAGATTGGAATAGCACTCAAATCAAGGTCAAAACTTAACGAAACTGGTTTTAGAGCAGTTTTCTGAGATTTCCAAAAAGAAAAACTCCAATACCACAATACATGGGGCTCAAAAGCAAGCCAGGAGAAGAAGAAAGATAGGAAGCGAAAAATCCATCTAAAACTAAAAAATTTCCTTCCAAAAAGTTCTTCCTTTATGGTCCTATGCTCAATGGCGAAGTACTTAAAAGTAGCATACGAGTGGATAACGAGAGTTTAAAAGCAGCCACCACAATGACAAGTAGGTAACAGTTAGTCTACAAACAGCCTAATCAAGGACAACTTAGAAACAGCCACTGTAATGTCAAAACTTATAAAACATATTCTCACTTAATTCCAAACTGCAAGAAGATACAAAATGACACGTAGAACTTTCAGATTACCTCTCAAGCAGAAGCAGTGAGCATTCTGATGGAAGGTCAGAGGAGTTGGGAGATGCGTTCTTGATGATACAACGGAGTCTTTTTTGGTGGGTGTTCAGAAATTTTGCAAAACAGGAGAAAGAAACATGTAACTGCTATGAACTCCTTTATTCTCACTTAATTCTAAACTGAAAGAAGATACTAAGTGACACCTAAAACTTTCAGATTACCTCCCAAGCAGAAGCCGTGAGTACTCTGATGGAAGGTCAAAGGAGTTCGGAGATACGTTCTTGATGATAGAACAGTGTCTTTTTGGGTGAGTGTCCAGAAAATTTGCAGAAGAGGAGAAAGAACATTTTTTTTTTTTCGGTGGGGGGAGGAACTTTAAAGCCTCATAGCACAAAATTTATTATATCTTCCTTCTTATGGACCCAAAAGAAAGCAACTACTACAGCCTGGAGGTTCCTAGTGCACAAGAGACTATGGGATGACCCCCATCAGTGATTTCGATCATCACTTATGCAATAGGTGGTTTGGTTTTAGGTTGCTGCTCTCGGTTGTTTAACTTTGGTACTTTGATGTGTAATTAGTCCTCTCCAAGACTCCAACCAACTTGAAGGATTCTAGCTCACGCACTTAGAGGAAATGGAGATTCTCTGACATGGAAAGGCAGCACTCAAACATCTACCAAACAACACCAAGAACAAAGCCATATTATGCCCTCGGGATAAACTAGTGATGATTGCCATGAATGCTGCACTAAAGGATGCGTACAAGGTCTTCACCAATGCCTATCAGCATGGTGCTTTGATGTAGGCAACCTTAAATAGCTAAGAACTCAAAGAATTCAGAGGCTGAAAGTTCAAAGAACTAGGGCTGAAATTTGGAGGTTCGATAGTAGAAATGTAGGATAAAAAAACAAGAAGTGGCTGGAAATTCAAATAAACAGATTGGTAGAGAGAAAGGATTGAAAACAACAAAAACCTATTGGAATCACACAAATAGGGCCTAGGCATCACACCTAGAGAAGGCCTCACACCCTCATAATTTGTGAATCACTCACAAAGAAATCTGAAAGATATTTTTATTAATTCATTGACTGTCTCACCAAGTTTACATCATACCCTTCTTATAGCAACTTATGACCCTGAGATTACCCCCATAATTGAGGTAATTAAAAGTTGACTCTATAGCATAATAAAAGAAAGTAATCACCCCATAATTGAGGTAATCAATATTTGATTCCATGATTAGCCCATAATTGAGGTAATCAATATTTACCTAATAGCATAATTAAAGTAACTAAAAGTTGACCAAATCTCCCAATTATTCAAAACTCCATGTGGACCCCTATTATCTAGCCTATGCCATCTCGAATCTTAGAATCCTCCTTTTGGGGGGCTTTGGGGCCTTTTATACTTCTTTAAAGAACTCTGCCATTGATCTCCACCAATTCTCTCCGGATTGGAAAAACTCGACTCAGGTGTTCTAAAGGGCTATTGCAGGGACACCGTATGAAGAAGAAAGTGATTTTTCCCCCTATTCGCAAAAAATGGTCTAGAAAGGAAAAGCAGAAGTGGATTCCGGTTTCACATGACTTTGGATCAGGTATGTCTTTTGTTTCGCCTTCTCACTCTCCTTCTATTCCTTCTTCTTCCTTTGCTCACCCTTGCGGGGTGTCTCGAAGGAGTTTGATGCCGAAAAAGGGAGTGGTGTCTTCTGTGTCTAATTGCTTGTCTACGGTTTTTGAAAGAGAGCCGGTGCTTGCTCTTGAGAAAAGACCTGGTGATGACGGTGGTATTGAGACGGATTCTTCTCGGTTGTGTGATGTTAAGAGTGACAGAATTACTGTGTGTGGGGCGGGATGTGAAGATAAGGATTGACGATGTTTCAGCTGCTGTACTCTTGAACGAATTGAGAGCTCATCTGGTCTTGAAAGGTTCTATTACTGACTAAAATGATCGAATGGCTGATGAGGTGTATGGTACTCCACTTTCTATCTGCTCTCCTTCTAGGTCATCTGTTGAGTATGGGGAGGATGGGTCGTGTTCATCTGTTCATGGGGATGCAGGTATGGTTTTGTGGAACGGATGTGAGTCTGAAGTTGATTTGTTTACACCTTTGGCAGTTGTAAGACCTGACGGGAACTCTACGGAAGGGAAAGGATTTGATGCAGGGCTGGCTGATTTGGAGAATAACTGGCTGAAGGATAATGGTGTTGAGAT